TTTAAGTAGGTTGGGTTCAATATATCAGGGAGATTTAACCATTTCTCGGGCTTCCTAACCAAATGGGCTGCTAATTTTTATTTTAAGCACCTGGATACGAAACGAGTGTAAACGAATGAGCTAGCAGCAGACGAGGTAGGGAAATATCAAAAATGTTGACAAACACTGTAAAACAGTGTTTTATTTTTACTTGTAGGTCAAATACTGAACCGAAAATGAACCGAAAACGCGAACCGACAGTAGGGTAGCGATCCGAAAACCGATCCGATGGCTCTGAACCGCGGTTTTTCGGTATTTCGGTTATCCGTCCCACCCCTAATTATTATCGATAAAAAGGGAAACTAAAAGTTGGAACTAAAATCACCAGTTTTTAACAATCCCCGAAGCCCTAAGAATTACACATGATTTAAATCAAATTAGTCCAGAAACCCATCGGTAAAACCTGTCCCATACATCCTTCACAGCAAAATAAGTAAGATATTATTAGATCAAATTGGTTCTTTACATGTTTAACTAGCTTTTAATGGGAGTATTGACTGTAATGCCATCTATATTTCGCATTCAAATCACTGCTTGTTGAATCATTGCCAGTTGAACAAAGTTCTTGACCCGCGAGAGGGTCGATCATTTCCCCCAAAACGAGCTATATTTCTTTTACTCATTATCATAAAAAATATAAATGTTAGTCAAAGGCTACTATATCCCTGGTAAATGTTAGTAAATAAACAGTTCAATTGATTTCACAATTCTATTATACAATAAACAATGTAATAACAGACGTCTAGACTTCGCAAGAGGATATGTCGCCATGCAACAGAATTAATCATAATTATAAAAAAAAATTATACTAGCATTATCGTGTTTACAATTTTGAAACACATTAATTAAAAAGATTAAGTAATTGATTTAACTTTAATGTTACTTGAGACGGTTTGAAGATAATGGTCTACGAATGTGATTATTATCTGATAATTAGTGCCAAATAATTATAATAAATTGAAATGCATGGACAAGATGATTATGATAAGTCAATTATCGAACCAGTCTTCATACCAATTAATAACTTCATTGCTGCAAGCATTGACGTCAGTTTGACATAAAGCCGGTAATTAAAGTGTCAAATTCCTAAACTAATACTAAACTTTGAAAATTAAGTTGAATATGACACAGTCTATACCAATAAAATTTAATTTATTTGACACGCATTGACGTTATGGTGACAACTTCAATAACATCATCATAATTTATTGTAGCGCCGCTTTTCTCAACAACAATTTTAGCGAAATATAATTTTTATTAATCGATATAAATAACAGTACTTCAACATCAATGCTAACATGTCGGGTCGGCTGATAGGAATGCAATTATCAACAATAAAATGCTTTGAATTTATTAACATGTTTAGATAAAGCACAACATGTTTGGTTATATAAACCGCAATTGTGTGGGAAACGTCAATGCTTTTAACAACCCCTAAACTTAATTAAGTTTAGTATTATCATAAAATAATAATGATTTATGTAATTCATCCCGAATATAACTGTCACTGTGTCAACTTACTCCTAATATGTATGTCTTCTCATGTCTAGTATACACCACTTATATATGTAATTTATAATCATTGCATATACATTTATATATATTTCGACCGAAATAAAACCCATTGTGTCAACCCACTCCCAATATTTATATTTTATTATCCCATCGAACGAGGTTCGAGAGGGATAATAAACCAAAAATATATTAATATAGTAAGGATTGAAAGATAAAGTGTTTACACAAATCAAATAAAATTAATTTGATATAAGCTGTGAAAGGAACGTAAACTATGCCTCTTTTACCCTCTCTGTCGCATAGAAGAAGTTGTGAATGTATCGGTTTTCAATGATGAGTAATAGGCCCAATGCATTTCGAAAAAAAGATTTATCAAATTATTTTTTGTAGACCCTATTTTTCTCTCGATTTATTATTTGCCATCCCAATTTTCTCCTTCTTATTTTTTTCCAAACCCCGACTTTTCATCATTTTATATCATATCAAATTATCATTATCAAATGAACTTTAGAAAGTGTTGGTAGTTCACCATCGTAAATGTTGCCTCCATACGGGAAAGTTGTATAAATATAATCTAATTCGAGTAAAACGATTTTATTGCATCTTTAAACTTTTATAGCATCCCAAAGATGCCATGTATAATTAGACTGGCATGTACTATTATCACATTTCATTGTCACATAAAACATTTTTCTATCAGATATTTTACACTGAAGCTATGGTCGTGCGTTTTCTCTGTCATAAATTGCGTTACTGATGCACACATTTTCTGTCGTCAAATCCTTACCGATATGATCATTTATCAACTTGTACTTTTCGTAGATGGGAAAGACCCCTGCTGAAATTCAAAAAGACTGTCGTGAGCGGAAAAGGCGCCAAAAGAATGTATTCATGTTCATAAATATATTGTCTTAATAGCTGTATGCACTAGTTTGCAAAGACCATTAAAGAATGAAGAATGTCAAAGCGCCCGAGACATTTTATTTTGATCCCAGATACCGCCACAAATACAGGAGAAAAATAAAAGAAGAGACTGTAAGTAGCTAGTGATCCAAGTGACGCCAAAAACAATGATTGTGACAGTGTATGTGACAGTGTTACCAGAAACACACAAGTAATAGTTAAAGTAAAACCCAAGGACAAATCATTTGGAATAATTTACCTTTGCATCTAAAAAAATAGCCCTTCTATGAGTATTTTTAAATCAAGACTAAAAAACTTCCTGATCAGTAAAATTCCAAATAATCATTAATTAAGGGCATAGTAAACATTGATTTTTATTCTTCCTTGTATGTTAACTCATCATATTAATATCCTTAGTAGATGTCATTATGTTACACATAATACAATATCTCTAGTATCAGTTAGGTGTCCCCATTGCTCCTGCTCCCAATAAGTTACTCATACTTTCTTATAAATTAAAGGTACTATTTTATATTCATACATCTTTAATTGTAAACTCAGTATATACACATAAACATATGTCTACTGTTAAAATCTTTATCATTGTGTAATTGAATCAATTTGAAATAAAGAAATAAAATAAAGAAAAAATAGTTTATTCGAATTTTGCCTGGAATTTTGCAAGAGAATGGAGAGATTAAGATGGCACTTAAAATCGAAAAGCCAACCTGTTGAATTAAAGTACATGGTCTCTCGAAAATTCCCTTATTTCTAACATGGGAATCCTCATTTCAGCAAATTAACTACTCATTTATTTATTGCTCAGACTAATAGTCATGAACGATTTAACTTGGGAACCTACTGATGTAACATACACATGTGCCATCTTTATAATACTATCAAATATAATAACATGTATGAGTAGGTAAGTTTGCGTACACGCTAGTCTACTTATACATGCCACCTTTTGAAGGTTATATTTTTATAATTTTATCGTTGACTTGTTTTAATTTACTGACGTACTGATTTACGTCAGCTACTGCATCAAATACGAGAGAACTTTCACTACTCTATTTATAAGAAAATGGATGAAATTCCGCCGAAGAGACTTTTAATTTTCATCATTTTCACCAAGAAGGAGAACGATTTTTGGAAAATTCATGTGACTATATGAGAAGTACCTGTAATAGAAATGCAGGTGATTCACTCATAAATTGCGTGTGTTGTCAACATGGTTGCCATAAGTCAAATTACATGAAATATTCATCCGAGTTTTCGCAAAAATACAAGTTAAGTAGATAAGTGGAATTGCTTGCCTAACAAAATTTGATGTTTCTTCAGTTTCAATGAATTTATAGGTATTCACCAGTCAAAATCATTTTTGCTGCCACCTTTTTTATCAATATAGCAACTATCCAATGTTTTACAGGAGAATGCAACTGCAGCATCTTTTTATCAATGTAGCAACTATCCAATGTTTTACAGGCGAATACTGGTATATTGCCTGGCCAATGCAACTGCAGCATCTTTTTATCAATGTAGCAACTATTAGTTAATTCGTTTTGAAAAAATAAATGTGATCCTTGTCTCAAAAGAAGATTTATACAACTACAGAAAGAATTTATTACATGTTATGATATTTATTGTGACATAACTTGAGTAAAAAATACTCACAAAAATCAATCAAACCATTTTAAATAAAAATACAAAAAACACTAAATGCATATACAACTAATAGTACCGACAAAAAGTTCTAAAAATCAGTCGAATGGTCTGTTAAAAAAAAACGTATTCTTATTTTTGAAAATGGATTCTAGTCTAGCAATACTATCCAACATGAATCTACTTGTTGAGCCTCTATCAACTCTTCTGAGCAAATGAGGATTTGGCAAGGGTACATTGACTCAACATGGAGACGAGTCGGACACACCATTGACCATTGACTTAACATGGGGATACCATCAGGTTTGTCACCATGTAAAGTCAATGAACCCCTGCCAAAATCCTCATTTTCTCAGAGGAATTCAAGCTGATCGAAGTAGAAGTAAGAAGGAAGTAGATTCCTGTTGGATAGTATTGGTAGAATCTTTTTTTCAAACGTTAGAGTAGGGGTTTTACAGGACTTTAAAGCTTAACTAAGGCCTTTTAGAAATTTTTGTTTAGTACTATAAATAAAATGTTCCAAAAGCTTAGCATCTGAAAGACTGGTCAAGGAAGTTTTCCTCGCCAAATAGTCTTGCATCCAATTTAGTTCCAAAAATGATTAAATTAAAACATTAAAAGGTCAATAGTTGTAATTTTCATCATTCATAACAGAAAAATAGCCTTAATTCATAATCTGCAATATGTAAGACCTTCACTGAACTGAAATTTTATTACAAGAAAAATGTTCTGATTTCTCAAATCACATTTTTTGATGATGTCATCAAGGTTAGTTTAAAATATTGAAAGTTGATATTTTTGTACTCTCAGAAGAAGGATAAGATGTTGAGGGTTCATAGTATGTGTAATTGAGTTTGTTTTTCAGATATTACAATTTTCAATATTTTTTAAGTCGATACCCAGATGCATTCCCAGACTCATCCTTTGGATGATGGATTATCAGAACTGATCTATAGGCTTCAAAATGAGAAATCTTAGTTATTATTTTAAGACTACAGTTCAACAATAACAATAAAGCAGGTCTGTTTCTAAGTATGGATAGTCTTAAAATTGAAAAAAAACATGGATTGTGTAAGTTAAATGTCACTTTGAATTTAAATTGAAAATATTATAAGGTTATTGAGGTGAGAATTACAGCTTTGTACCTTTAATATGAATTTATATGGCCAAATAAAAGGAGGATAGACAGCCATGATTCTCCATTTCCTGGCACAGAACAATTTGGTAATAATATTTCATCTTAAGATCAAGTATAAATTAGTGAGAGTATGAGTACAGTATTGTGATAATATTTAAACTCTTCAACATGGGTAATAATAGTATTACTAAACTGATTCACGCCAGTCAATGGAGGATGGTCTCTATATTACAATTAGCAATCTTGCTTGGCACAAATAGTCACTAACATATGTTATTTTCTGGCATTCCTTTCCAGTTACAGTATTGAGCACTATATTCGTCGTCTCTACAACATTCGTTCAACAACTTGTTTCTCTTTAAAAACATTATCATTTTTAATTTTCATTGTTCATATGGCTTCTCCAAGTCATATATTGGAAGAGTTTAGTAATGACATGAGAGGTGTTAGACCTATACGTATGTTGTCTCCCCTCTAGAATAACTTTGGAAGAGTCTATCACTGTGTATGAGATAATATAAGGGGTATCAGCCTACACACACTGAACATTTAAGTATTCCACTTCATCCTCTGTCAGTCCTCTCTTTATATGAAAGAACTCCAGCATGTTTGATTTAAATCCTCGATTAAATGGGTTGTAATAATTGCCTTTACCGTCTTTGAGATAGTCATAACGTTTCTTGTTAATGCGCTCGTTTGTTGTGAGATTGAAAGCTGCATGGAATAACTGCAATGAAATTGAAGACAGTTTTAAATAATCAGTAACACCATCACTTTATGAGTGCAATTAAACAATGGGGATCAACTGGGAACAAAGACATTATGTCTTACTTCAATGTGGCAGGACTTCCGGTTGAAGATTTTCATAAGAATTTGTTTTTGATTTATCAACTTTATCCTTCGTATTTGACTCTGAGAAACTGTCGTCATTTCCTTAGCAAGCGAATTGTTTTGTAATTATCCAAACAATGCCTGTTTGTTTTTCTTAGGTATAATCAATCATATTTCAAAACTGGAATCTGCACACTGCATGAGTGCCAGAGAAGGATAAAAGTGATAAAGTCAAGAAAATAAAAATTCTTGAAACAAAATGTCTCCGTTTCTAGTTGATACCCAGACTTAAAAACATTTCAATATGATTTTCAGTTTTTTTTTATTTATCATATTACACATTATTCTACAAATTATAAAACTATATACTTTAGAGCTAAAAGTCAATGAAAAGGATAAACTTAATTTTCCTTATCTGTTAAATTTACAATTATAGAAGTTTGCTATGTATTAATAGTGTATATATACAAGGATATGTGAAGTCAATGTTTAAATCATTTGCATATGATAATCATGTGGATATAAGTATCATGTGGCTGAAATCAATCAACAAACAAGACAACATGTGCACAAAGCACTCATCTAATTAGAGTAGCCTAAGGCTAATAAATAAAATATTAAGCAATGTTCTGAATATCCATTTATAAATATGGCAAACTGTGTCATCATTTTTACTTATAAGCTACATCATTGATGATGCAAGGGCAGCCTCATTCTATCATCTTTCTGCAAATATGAGATAATACAAAACTTTAAATGGAATTCCTCTAGTCTTAGTAATGTTCATTGGTTACAGTACAATTGAAAGTCATTGGATCACATCAACATCATGCATATATAATGGTTATGTACTGGGAGGTTTTGGATATGGGGTTTATCCAAAGGGAGATATACATATCTACGTTAGGGACTGTAGGGACCGAAGGTTATATTTGCATATCTCACGAGGGATGGACCCAATATCCAAACCAACCGTACATAACTGCTTTATCCTATACCAAGTAGAGTTTTCAGGGGCATATGGCCATTTCAATAGTACAAGATGTAAAAATCATTCATATGCAAAGTCATTGTATTGCATTTTCACTTTTAAATTTTAAATACATTGTAGCGGGAAGATATGCACCGAAGCGGGAAGATATGCACCAAAGCGGGAGATATGGTGGGAGATATGGAGGTTCTGGATATGGAAACCTCAAAATCAGGATACGGGATATATCTTAACAACTTACCTCCCTAAAACTCTACTCTGCATAGGATAAATAGGGTTATCTAGGAGGGACTGAATATTGAATTCATCCCAAGGGACAATATGATATTGATTGAAAAACAAAATAATACCAACATAGAGTTATAAAAAAATTACTTTTTACAAAAATGCACTTTCTTTGATGAAGTTTCAGAATAGAGCAAAATTGAATAAAAGTCATATCCTCTGTCAATGCACAAAGTTGCTATGCAAACCACAGTTTCATTGTCTGTAAGTCATGGCCTCTGAAATGTTTCAAATTCACTAACAATTACGTGGTTTAGACATGGCCCATTAGACAAAGTTGAATGCCAGTCTATTTGAGTTATCGAATTATTGTGGCCATTTTGAAGTAAGTGGTTATGTTAAGAATTGCTCCTTGACAAGAGCACCAGCTAACAAAATTTGAACTTAATACATCAATCTGTATTTGGTGGGATAACTATATACTAATCACACACAGCAGAGTATCAAGAAGTTGTGAAAAAAGTTCAGAATTTGGTGCTATTCAAATTAGTGGCTTTAACAAGTGAAGACTTTGCAGGCAGATTTGCATAGGGATAGATGTGGCACACTGGGATAGATGTGGCACACTGGGATAGATGTGGCACACTGGGATAGATGTGGTACACTGGGATAGACATAGCACACTGGGATAGATGTGGTACACTGGGATAGACATAGCACACTGGGATAGATGTGGTACACTGGGATAGACATAGCACACTGGGATAGATGTGGTACACTGGGATAGATGTGGCACACTGGGATAGATGTGGTACACTGGGATAGATGTGGTACACTGGGATAGATGTGGCACACTGGGATAGATGTGGCACACTGGGATAGACATAGCACACTGGGATAGATGTGGCACACTGGGATAGATGTGGTACACTGGGATAGATGTGGCACACTGGGATAGACATAGCACACTGGGATAGATGTGGCACACTGGGATAGATGTGGTACACTGGGATAGATGTGGCACACTGGGATAGATGTGGCACACTGGGATAGATGTGATGTGGCACACTGACTGGGATAGACATAGCACACTGGGATAGATGTGGTACACTGGGATAGATGTGGCACACTGGGATAGATGTGGCACACTGGGATAGATGTGGCACACTGGGATAGACTAAGTGCAATGGGTAATTTACTAGAGATCTTCACATTACATGTACTGTGGGTGACCTTTCCGTATTAACTTGTTATTACAGAATGGGTCATCTGAATCAGTGTTATTTATGAAATGGGTCAATGAATCTTGAACTAAGACTTGCATTGAATCTTTTAAACTGCTGAAATCGTACAGTTAGACCTTAAACGATTGACACTGACCTGTTCATTTCATGGAGGACTAGAATAAAAGCTGCTAAGCTCTACAGTATCACCATCCAAACTTGCTGTGAAACATAATCTTCATTTAGTCATTTCCATAGGATAAGGTCACCAATCTTTATAAAATGGTCAATTTTATTTTGCATTAATGTAAACAAATTGAGTAAATATGGAATGTTCCCCCACAATATGTGATTATATTTGATGTGACAAGTAAACTGTATAATTTCATACAGATGTTCACGAAATATTTGATGTGACATTAAGTGAAATTGTATAATTTTATATGTATGTTCACACGATATTTGATGTGACGAGTGAATTTCATACATATGTTCATTTAAGCTTTGATGTGACAAGTGAAACTGTATAATTTCAAACAGATTTTCACTTGATATCTGATGTGACAAGTGAAACTGTATAATTTCATACATATATTCACATAAGATTTGATGTGACAAGTGAAACTGTATAATTTCATACAGATATTCACATAAGATTTGATGTGACAAGTGAAACTGTATAATTTCATACAGATATTCACATATTGTTTGATGTGACATGTGAAACTGTATAATTTCATACAGATTTCCACATAATATTTGATGTGATGGGTGAAACTGTATAATTTCATACAGATATTCACATATTGTTTGATGTGACATGTGAAACTGTATAATTTCATACAGATTTCCACATAATATTTGATGTGATGGGTGAAACTACAACTTTACATCCCTCCATCTTACCGTGGCAAATGTTAAGCAAGTGGCAACATTTTGAAAGAAGATTCCATGTAGGATGAGAGCAATGAAATAGTCAGGGCACCACAAGGGAAAGCCCTCTTCTGCCCACACATTGTACAACATAACCCATGTGATGAGACCCATCAGCCACACACAAGCACAGAATCCAAAGAATGAATACCTACAAAGCCAGCCAGGTGCCATGAGAAATAATAGCCATTAGGCAAGGTTAATATGTAACATCCCTTCACCTTGATGAATAATATCAGCATTATTAGCTGCAAATGTTAGTGCTTGTTATTTATAAGAGAAAATATTACAAATTAGTATGGTTTTATTGGATTTTCTGCAACACCTAAAAACGAAGGATTAGTAAAACAAAAACACAAAAATCAAATATCAAAATAAAATGCCAAAATTAATGAGGTTTATGGGTTAAGTTAAAGCAGCTGTTAATTAATGTTAAAGAGCTTGCAGTTTTAACAGTCAGGGCTATAACATCTACAAATCTTATATAATTTACAACAGATCTAATTTAAACAATGAGCAGCCAAGAAAAATAGATAAACACAGATCGAGATTTTTTCCATCTTTTTAAGGTGAGACAAGATGGATGAGGACACACTTGCTTGTTGCCTTACCGTACTAACAGCCAAAAAAGTGGCTAAGGCCATGAAGACAAGGCCATGGATGAGTCCACCCAGCATATAATCTGGGGGATGAAAAATGGGATAGTCATCCATTCGCCAACAATTTAAGCTAATCAACCATGCAAGGGAGCCATTTAAGAAAGCAGCACAGCAAAATATGGCAAACGAGCCCCTAAAATAAAAGGCATGCTGTGATATTAGTAGGAATGTAGCAAGTTAGCCCCTATAAAAAAGGCATACAATGATGTGAGTAAAAATGGCTTATGACCCCTGTAATATAAATTCATAAAATTAATGATATGTGTTTGCTCATGTAAGCAAATCTATAGGAGGGTTCTATCTTACAGCGCAAGCATCTTAGTCTGCAAAAGGCAAGGTTGAGTGCCCTATAGGTTCAGGGCAATCATACTAATAACCAAAAGTGGTCATCATTGAATGGCAGGTTTCTCAGGGGACAAAGGCTCATAAGGGTCAAATAAAGCACTGTTCATCAGGGGAGGAACAATGGGCTGATTATCAACTAGTTTAGGCCTTCGAGTCTACCCCAGTCGGATCCTATAGCTAACGATTCGACTTGACCAATAAGGAAATGTGCATTTTTGACCCTGAACCCTACCATTCAAGGACAATCTCCACAAGAGGAGGCGATATACCCTATGAAGTATTCTTACCGTTGAACCAGCTAATACTATAGCCACTCCTTCAAAGAAGAGGCCATGCATGAGCACACCTACTACGTAGTCAACATTGAAAGGAAAACCCTCCATGCTCCAACACACACCACCAATGAACCAAGAAATGAGTCCATTGAGGAGGCAACTACAGCAAAATATTGCAAATGAACCCCTATAAGAGAATGAATATCAGCGTATATTGCAAATGTTCAACCCCTATAAGAGAATGAATATCAGTTCAATCAGCATATAGGTCTGATTTTGTTTCTGATAAATGTGTTCGATCAAATCTGCAATAAAAGAGAAGAGTTTATGGGTTAGTGATGAACAAATATGATGTAATTGTCGAATGTCCAGTTTTGTGTTCCATCATACTTTTTATATAGAAGTAACTAACTTTAAATGCAAGGGATTTAGATCTAAAACATGGAATTTAAAACCAGCACCTCAAATTGTACACATACTTTGCACCTCAAATTGGAGGATAATGTTGATTTCAGGTGGCTAAACACTGAGTTGGGAGATTATGAAAACAGCTCAAGTCATAAACACAGACAGATATGGTGACTTGGTCAAGGTTCACTTTTGAATGATAGAACAAAACTGGACAAATGACAAAACACATGAAATGAGCTTTGGTTATTTAAACTCACCGTCATGCCTGTGACAACACCACCTATGACTGTTCCTAATAAGGCATCTAACAAACCAATCACAAGCCAGATGTCAAATCCCATCATCGACCAGATCACATATATGAAGAACAGAGTTATGAGGACATTGACCGTGGTGGACACCGCAAAAGCAAAGAACCATACCCTAGAAATAGAGAATGATTTAGTTAAGAATAATGTAACTAAGTGACCTTAATCAAACTTAAGATTTTTATATTCTAAAAAAGTACCTGATTGTTTCAATAGAAGATAAAGAGCTATAATAACAATGCATTTTATAAACACCAGTTTGTATTTTGACCTTAATATGAACATTCTGATTTGAAGTTATGATAAAATGAATGTTTCATAGTATTATGATAGAACATGCAAGGACTGTAGATCAAGACATTATATCTACTAGAGAGGATCATATGCATGCAGGTAATCATTAAAAATAGTAGTTGGCACATAAATGGAGCAGCACTATATTCCAAACAATATGATTCATTTCTGATTCATGCCAAAAGTAGCAGAAATGGATATTTTTAAGTTCTTCATATTCCATCAATTGTGTTCATTTGGGTTAAATTTAGAGAAAGAGATTGTGTTTTGAACTTAAACAGGATTAATGTCCACCACGTACTTATGTATGATTAATTGAATAAAAACTGATCTGCAATGAAAGAGTAGACTACAAGAGAGAGAGCATAAGGCACTGCTGAAGTCAGTTATATTTAGGATTGTGGGAACTTTTTGGGCAATGGAAGCAGGTATGCCTTTTAGGTCAATATATTATCTGTAAAACAAGTACAATGATCATATGGAAGCAGGTATGCCTTTTAGGTCAACATATTATCTCTAAGACAAGTACAATGATCATATGGAAGCAGGTATGCCTTTTAGGTCAACATATTATCTCTAAGACAAGTACAATGATCATATGGAAGCAGGTATGCCTTTTATGTCAACATATTATCTCTAAGACAAGTACAATGATCATATGGAAGCAGGTATGCCTTTTAGGTCAACCTATTATCTCTAAGACAAGTACAATGATCATATGGAAGCAGGTATGCCTTTTAGGTCAACATATTACCTCTAAGAAAAGTACAATGATCATTGAAAAAGTCAATCAGACTCAGTTTGAAGAGGAATCAATGTATCAACAGATTTTCAATGCTTCATGCAAAGACAAACTTAACTTTAATAAACCAAAACAATTAGATTTTAATAAGTAAAACTACATTTATACAAGGTGTCTGTGGTCCCATGTGAATGTTGTAGCAATGTTCCTATATTGAAAAGTGAATCCTGTCTAAAATGATCATTTTTTATGTACTACAAGTTGACTTATATAGAAAAGGTATGGTGAAAAACTTTACATTTTAAAGAGTCCTTTTTAATAGATGGGTTGATGCAGATTCCAAAGAAGGTGTCCAGATCTCATCAACAAATGTTAATTCCAGGCCTCATCATTTAGAGTCTGTGTTAATTCCAGGCCTCATCATTTAGAGTCTGTGTTAATTCCAGACCTCATCATTTAGAGTCTGTGTTAATTCCAGGCCTCATCATTTAGAGTCTGTGTTAATTCCAGACCTCATCATTTAGAGTCTGTGTTAATTCCAGGCCTCATCATTTAGAGTCTGTGTTAATTCCAGGCCTCATCATTTAGAGTCTGTGTTAATTCCAGGCCTCATCATTTAGAGTCTGTGTTAATTCCAGACCTCATCATTTAGGGCCTCATCATTTAGAGTCTGTGTTAATTCCAGGCCTCATCATTTAGAGTCTGTGTTAATTCCAGGCCTCATCATTTAGGGCCTCATCATTTAGAGTCTGTGTTAATTCCAGGCCTCTTCATTTAGAGTCTGTGTTAACTCCAAGCCTTTTCATTTAGAGTCTGGCTGAATTATGATTGTTTAATAATCTCAGAGAAAGTCCATATGCCTCAAGCAAACCTCTTTCCATTATCACTTTATCATAACAGTGGCATACATAAACATAGTAAACACTGGTGAAATGTTAATAACCAAAGCCCAATTCATGCATACCAAATACTAGAAGAATCAAGTATGTCTATAGTGAAAACCAAATAATATATAGGACAGATTTACAAATTGTATATTTACTTAAAATACAATGCAACAATACTGAAACATGTAAAGTCAGAGAAAAGCAGACTTGAGAAGAGAGATTCAATTGTAGAATGGCTGTTTCAATATATTCTCTTTACATACATATTCTTTTCTCTAACTTTAAAATGAATGGATTGATTTCATTAACTTCTCTACAACGTTGTATTTTTTGTGGGTCTTGGAGATATGACCATAATATAGGAGTAGTCTCAATCTCCCAAGTAGATTTAAGACATTTAGACAATGCTGTGTGACTATAACATTTCTAATTCAAAAAATTTAAGATAAACTGAGAATGACAAGGTTGTCCTTCTCAAACCAAATCTCTCTTCAACATGTCTCCCATGCTCAAGAAATATTTTAAATTATATTTAAATTAATGCAATAAACTGAACTTGAATTTGCTGAATCTATATATTAACTTTAATTACCATAGTAAAGAAAACTGAGACTTAATTTACTTATTTACTAAATTACTTAATAACAAAACTGATACTATAATTGGACAAGCAGCATCAATGTAGCCATAGCAACGAATCTTGATAAACTTCGGCTTTCACAACATTGAAAGCATAAAAAGGGAACATAAAGGTAAAAAGCAGGTTGTACTCGTACATGTGTCACATTCAAACATGCAAATATTGTAAGATGATGAATCAGTAATTTCTTAATTTGAAACTACTGGATTGAATGAGTTATTCATCTTAATGGGTTTTAAGAATGATTTGTTTAAGGAATAAATAATGATAGGCCATTTAATATGGTGAAATTCAGCACGAGTAAGACTGAATGTCATACAAAGCACAAACCGAAGCTGAGTGCATTTGCACTGACATTGTCCAACGAGTGTAGAACTTCACCATATTGAATGGCCTATCATTATTTATTCAAATTCAAACATAGAAAATTAAAAGATTGTTCAGAGAATCAGCGATTTATGAAAATGAAATAACCAAACTTGCTGCTATTTTCACCATTCCAAGGTGTGTGAATAGAGCACAGTCGTGCATCTATGGAGAAATAGAGAACAATGTTTATTGGCTATGCTGCATTTTGATTGGTTGAGAAATTCAATTAGAGCACAGTCATGTTTAAAGAACAGTTGTGACACATGTGATTACCAGACCTACTCCCCTTTTGAGAAAATCCAACCATAATGGTAGACCCACCTGTTATTGTAGCCCACACAATTGTATATGTAAGGACAATGGTGATCCATCTGTTTAATACATCGGTTACATATTTTACAATGTTTGCTTCTGATTGTTTTAACTGTTCTACATGTATGGCAAAGTCGACTTAGTGGATTACGTCCTTGTTTCCATTCATCAAAATGTGCAACCTGAAATTATTGCCAGCTTTTAATCATTTGAACTTTTAATTTGGTAATGCATAGAATATTTCATGTTCCAAGAAATATCATTAATGAAAAATGTTCAATTCATTTATGTTTGTCTGAATGATACAAATATTATTATAATAAACATTATAATGTGAAAATGTGAATGCATGGTTGCAACACACAATAATGTACCATTTGTTACACCAAACATTGTCTTCACTTTATAAGTGACATAAAACTAAGAATCACAAGATTGGCCAACAAGATTTCAAAATGAACAAAAAGGCCTCACTTAAGTCAATTTTAGAATTGAGAACTCCACCTACCTGTTTAATGGCCAGATCATATTCTGGAATATTCCTAGGCAAGTACCCTGGGTCTATAGTGTTACAGTGGTACAATGAGATCCACATAATGACGTTCAACACAATAAATATGACATGGAGAATTTGCAGATCATACCAAGTATATGGAATAGCCTACAAAACAAATATTTTCATTTAAAGTACAATTTCATTTTAATTTCATTAGATTTAATTTTATTTATTCACTATTCTTTGTCAGTAGCACCCATGGGCATTTAACTGAATACTCCCGTTGGCACTAAAAACAGATGATCTCAAAGCTCTGATACTTCATCTTTTAACAAAGTCACCAAATAATTATTTTAACTTAGCAGAATAATAAGGCAAATTTTAATAGGTATGGATAAAATATTGATGTGTAATGCTGTACCTTAATTATGTACATGGGGTATCCCCAAAATAAAATATTCACTAAGAAGAATAGCAGAGCTCCTTTACTGTTTCCTGGGGGACCAAATAAGAGTGCCCTGAAAAAGAGAAAACAATCATGTATATGTAACACTTTGATTTGTATCCATATATGTAACACTTTGATTTGTATCCATATATGTAACACTTTGATTTGTATCCATATATGTAACACTTTGATTTGTATCCATAGATGGAACACTTTGATTTGTATCCATATATGGAACACTTTGATTTGTATCCATAGATGGAACACTTTGATTTGTATCCATATATGTAACACTTTGATTTGTATCCATATATGTAACACTTTGATTTGTATCCATATATGGAACACTTTGATTTGTATCCATAGATGGAACACTTTGATTTGTATCCATATATGTAACACTATAATTTGTATACATATATGTAACACTTTGATTTGTACCCATATATGTAACACTTCGATTTGTATCCATATATGTAACACTTCGATTTGTATCCATAGATGGAACACTTTGATTTGTATCCATATATGTAACACTATGATTTGTATCCAAATATGGAACACTTTGATTTGTATCCATATATGTAACACTATAATTTGTATACATATATGTAACACTTTGATTTGTACCCATATATGTAACACTTCAATTTGTATCCATATATGTAACACTTTGATTTGTATCCATAGATGGAACACTTTGATTTGTATCCATATATGTAACACTATGATTTGTATCCAAATATGGAACACTTTGATTTGTATCCATATATGGAACACTTTGATTTGTACCCATAAATGTAACATTTCGATTTGTATCCATATAAGTAACACTTTGATTTGTATCCATATATGTAACACTATGATTTGTATCCATATATGTAACACTTTGATTTGTATTCATATATGTAACACTTTGATTTGTACCCATATATGTAACACTTTGATTTGTACCCATATATGTAACACTTTGATTTGTATCCATATATGTAACACTTTGATTTGTACCCATATATGTAACACTTTGATTTGTATCCATATATGTAGCACTTTGATTTGTACCCACATGTAACACTTTGATTTGTATCCATATATGTAACACTTTGAATTGTATCCATATATGTAACACTTCGATTTGTATCCATATATGTAACACTTTGATTTGTATCCATATATGTAACACTTTGATTTGTATTCATATATGTAACACTTTGATTTGTATCCATATATGTAACACTTTGATTTGTATTCATATATGTAACACTTCGATTTGTATCCATATATGTAACACTTTGATTTGTATCCATATATGTAACACTTTGATTTGTATTCATATATGTAACACTTTGATTTGTACCCATATATGTGACACTTTGATTTGTATCCATATATGTAACACTTTGATTTGTACCCATATACGTCACACTTTGATTTGTACCCATATATGTGACACTTTGATTTGTACCCATATATGTAACACTATGATTTGTATCCATATATGTAACACTTTGATTTGTATCCATATATGTAACACTTTGATTTGTATCCATATATGTGACACTTTGATTTAAAAGAAACATTGTTTACTTTAGCACTACAGGTAAACTACTGGCATTAAATAAAATTATCCATAAGAATCTCCTTGAAATATTTTTCTTTTAACATTTCTGATTATCAATCATTTGTTCGAGAGGCCCACATAAACCTTCCACATTTCGAAAATATTGTTTTGAAAATGATTGGTTTAATCTGAAGTAAGGGAAATTTTCACCTTGATCATGTTTAAAGTACATGAATTAAGCTTAAATTTAGGTTTGTTTATTTTCTTAATTTCATCCAAAAATATTGATCCAAAGTCTACAACTTTAAGAAACCTTGATAATATCTGTGACCCAGTTTAATGACTGTAAGCCTTGACCTTCAAAAGTTAAAATTTTATGTCAAATTTAAAAGCAATATAAAAAGAATGTATCGAGTAAAGCAAAATGACAAGAATGTATTGAGTAAAGTGTATACTAAAGGCCAAACTGAGAGCTAATTGGAGTAGGGGAGAAAATACAGACAAAATGGATAATGGTTGGCAATAATAGGGCCTCATTATGAAGTTAACTATTTCTCACCAGAAGTCGATCTTAGGTATTAGTCTGTTTTTATTTTGAGCCTTTTTCTTCAGGTAAATGACAATGTCTTCATGTTTGCGTCCCATGGCTAACATTATGGGAGTTTTGCCATTTTTGTCTGGAAGCTCAATCTCAACTCCATCCTGAAAAAAATAAAAAGCAAAAGATATATTCATTCCTAAAGACAAGAATGTGACTAAGTAATAAAAAGCATAAATAAGATTTATTCATTGCCAATGACAAGAATGTGATTTAGTAATAAAATAAATAGCATAAGATTTATTCATCCCCAATGACAAGAATGTGATTTAGTAACAAAAAGCATAAGATTTATTCATCCCCAATGACAAGAATGTGATTTAGTAATAATAAAAAGCATAAGATATATTCATCCCCACTGACAAGAATGTGATTTAGTAATAAAAAGCATAAGATTTATTCATCCCCAATGACAAGAATGTAATTTAGTAATAAAAAGCATAAGATTTATTCATCCTTAATGCCAAGAATGTGATTTAGTAACAAAAAGCATAGGATTTATTCATCCCCAATGACAAGAATGTGATTTAGTAACAAAATGCATAAGATTTATTCATCCCCAATGACAAGAATGTGATTTAGTAATAAAAAGCATAAGATTTATTCATCCCCAATGACAAGAATGTGATTTAGTGACAAAAAGCATAAGATTTATTCATCCCCAATGACAAGAATGTGATTTAGTAATAAAAAGCATAAGATTTATTCATCCCCAATGACAAGAATGTGATTTAGTAATAAAAGCATAAGATTTATTCATCCCCAATGACAAGAATGTGATTTAGTAATAAAAAGCATAAGATTTATTCATCCCCAATGACAAGAATGTGATTTAGTAACAAAAAGCATAAGATTTATTCATCCCCAATGACAAGAATATGATTTAGTAATAAAAAGCATAAGATATATTCATCCCAATGACAAGAATGTGATTTAGTAATAAAAAGCATAAGATTTATTCATCCCCAATGACAAGAATGTGATTAAGTAATAAAAAGCATAAGATTTATTCATTCCCAATGACAAGAATGTGATTTAGTAATAAAAAGCATAAGATTTATTCATCCCCAATGACAAGAATGTGATTTAGTAATAAAAAGCATAAGATATATTCATCCCCAATGACAAGAATGTGATTTAGTAATAAAAATCATAAGATTTATTCATCCCCAATGACAAGAATGTAATTTAGTAATAAAAAGCATAAGATTTATTCATCCTTAATGCCAAGAATGTGATTTAGTAACAAAAAGCATAGGATTTATTCATCCCCAATGACAAGAATGTGATTTAGTAATAATAAAAAGCATAAGATTTATTCATCCCCGATGACAAGAATGTGATTTAGTAACAAAAAGCATAAGATTTATTCATCCCCAATGACAAGAATGTGATTTAGTAATAAAAGCATAAGATTTATTCATCCACAATGACAAGAATGTGATTTAGTAATAAAAAGCATAAGATTTATTCATCCCCAATGACAAGAATGTGATTTAGTAATAAAAAGCATAAGATTTATTCATCCCAATGACAAGAATGTGATTTAGTAATAAAAAGCATAGGATTTATTCATCCTTAATGCCAAGAATGTGATTTAGTAATAATAAAAAGCATACGATTTATTCACCCCCAATGACAAGAATGTGATTTAGTAATAATAATAAAAAGCATAGGATTTATTCATCCCTTATGACAAGAATGTGACTAATTGTAAGGAGGAAAATGTGAGGTGAGAAAAACTCTCATAAATTAGAGTGTAGGGACAGGTTAAAAATGTTGATTTTGTCCCAAAATAGAATTTTATGATATACTTGACTGTGACCCCTCATTCACCCTAATAGAATGAAATTGAATATATTCAGATAAAGTCACTTACTTAAGGGCATTTAACCCCCCCCCCCCTATTTGTCATATTTAAATAAAGGCAGGTAACACTGGCTGCAGTTCAATAACAGCAGGCCTTAGTTACAGGTATAAAAGTCCAGTCCATGGTAATACATTCAGCTAAAACATACACATTTCCTGTGTTTATTCTACTCTATGTGATGGTTATTTATCAATCTTATCTACAATTTAAAGTGTAACATCAATATTACAGGATCATATTTGAATAAACACACATTAGACAAATATTGGCTGAACCAAGCAACTCAGGATTATAGGAATGAAGTATGGACCATACAGCTGTATGTGTTATATTGCTAAGATCTACTAAATGGAATTGTCATTCTTGTTGTATTCTCTTCTCAAAGGTTTGTATTTGGTACGATCGTAACTTACGATTCTGAGAAAACCATCGTCTACTTTTTGACGAACAATTACTTGCGACCAAATCGTATGTTCATCAACAGTTCCAAAACCGGACCCAAGTATCATATAAATACTTACATTTTCACAGAGTTCCTTCACTCCTGCAAGGTTTCCATTTATACATGCCAGGTGAAGGGGGGTTTGTTGGAAGTTATCAGGCTGTTTTGGGTTAAACCCAGAGTAGATAAGAAGTCGCATTAACTCTGTCTGGCCTGAAATACAATTAAGTCATGTTAGATTGCTGAAAATAAACTGAAAACTAACATCAATTTCTCTAACTATTGACATGAATACATTATCACAAGTTAATTGAAAAATTGTTGTATTATTAAAAATCAAAAAAGGGCTGAATACCTTCCTCAGAATATAGATATCTTAGTAATGCATGTTTCTGCGACTGTTTATTAACTTTCAAACCCAGCACATCTTTGCAAAACTTCCAATCCTGTTCTAATATATGTGGGTTTCTCTTTCTCAATCGAACAGTCATTCTAGATTCTTATGAATTGTTATATTCACATGAAGTTCATGATCATTTAGTCTTTCTTATTGCAGTTTATGATTTTTTAACACTATTAACGATACAATCTTCTTTTATACTATTCATGATAAAAGTTTTCTCAGTGATACGTCATTGTCACCTCATAATTATTAACTTTGTTAATATTGATACATACAGATTCTTAACCCAAAATTATTTCTACTGAAAAAGAAACAATAATTGGATCAATGATTTTGTGCTCTGTTGCCTGTTGTCTCAATATCTCCATCTCAGCATTAGGATTCATTTAAAGGAATATTCCTTGCCAAACCATCTCTCTCCTCATATGGTAGCTATAACCATATATATGCTTGCCATGTTTAGAAAAAACACACAAAAAATGTTTTGATATGGTCAAATTTGATCACTTAGAAATGTGATGCTCAATTCCAGTAAGCTGCCATCTTTTAAAATTTCACACAGGAAGTGATGTCATCGACTCTCAACTTTGCATATAGCATTGGGTGAGGAGCTATTAAGAATTACAAAACCAGCTAAATATTCTTTTTCAACTTTGAATCTTATTTAATCCTTCTGAAAATCTCTTCTTTTATTCTAAGTTAACAAGCCTTGAAAATATTTTTGCCCAGAAAGTAATGATCATTTGTCTAGAAGTGATTTTGTGCTACTTCCCTATACTGTTATGGGCAAGGTTATAGAAGTTGAGAGTTGATGACATCACTTCCTGCAAGAAATCTTAAAAGATGGCAGCTCACTGGAAATAAGCACTAGATTTTTAAATGATCAATATTGACCATATTAAAACATTTTCCCATGTTTTGCTAAATATGGAAACTATATATATGATTATAGCTACCATATCAAGAGAGAAAGAGTCTGGCAAGGAATATTCCTTTAAATCAAATAATGAGTTCATAAAACATAGTCAATGGTTCAGTAAAACTTTCTTATTCTTTGAAAGATGATGAAAATCTCTGACGTAGACATTTTATTTATAACAAGGTTACTGGAATAACTATTTCAAGTTTGAAACTGATATCTTTGAGGCACTAGTAGATTCCCATAAATTCCAATAAATGTAGAGTGAAATGACATGAATCCATAGAATAAACTTCATGTAACTTTTTGACTTTTGTTTGGTTGCCTCAAGGCAATATCTCATTGACTTGAATTGAACATGCAGAAATTATATCAGTAATGATATAATAGAACATATAATATCATATACGAGTATCAGTATGGATATTGCACACGTCTGCCAGTTCTTCATTTTTCCTATTTCCATTTGTAGTTTCATAGTAGTTTCCAAAAATATGAATTATTTCTCATTTTGTTTAAAAAATGATATTTCAATTCACATGTCAAATTCTACTTTCATTCATTCATCTAATGTGAGTTGTTTGTTTTGGAAATCCATAAAAACAATAGAAACAGATTCTCCATTGCCATGTTTATCATAACAATCTTAAAAAAAACTCTTTCTCCATTGCCATGTTTGTAGTTCATTCGATTTCTACAAATTCACTTCACTTAAAAACAAAATCAGGAAATATAAACTCTGCAACGCTTCAATTAAGATCCTCGTGAAGATAACAATTTTTGTATATGACTTCACACGAAAATCCAACATATGATACAAGAGACTATCTGCTTGGCTAAGCAATGTGCTGATATTGTAGCAGTAAAACAGTGAAGAATCAATAATATTCCATGTTAAATGAATCATCCCATGTTGATTTACTGATAATCTTAGTTTGCTGGATGGTTTTGCAAGCAGCCAAGACCTTAGTCAGGTTTAATCAGAATCAAATAGATTTCAATAAATCTTCATCAAATTTCATCTCAGATTTTTGCCTAGAGCTCTACAGGTAGCCACAGGCTATTTCACAGTCTACAGGCAAATTTTCAATTTTCCTTTAGGGCTGCTAATTAATATGCCTATAACGGAGACTAGGAGATTTTCCAATAATTGGAACATGAGAAATGTGACCAGAATATGTAAACATTATGAAAGGAAATTCTATTTTAATCCAGAATTGAACAACCTGAATTGATTTCTATTCATTATCAATGTTACAACCAACATGCAGAACATGAATTAATGCAATTAAAATCTATAGGACTGGTGGTACATGTTCATTTGTGTACAGCTTCACTACAAGACAGCATAACAGAAAGACCCAGATAATATCAATCTTTGTGAAAATAATCATAGTAACTGTATTAATTGTCTGATAATTTTGATGGCATTATACAAACTTTTAACAAGGAATGACAAAATGTCACAATCTGAATGCAATAACTTCAGTGCAACAATTTGTATATCATCACTCTGAAATTTGGTATTAACAAAGAATGTATTAACGTGACAAAATGTCACAATCTGAATGCAAAAACTTAAGTGCAACAAAAAAATGTCATCACTCTGGTGTTTGATCAGCAAATTGGATTCCCTTTAAAATGATATATAATTACCCAGTACGTTATAATTTCTAAACTAAAACAAGTTAAGGGGGAAAACAGATTTGACCCTGTACGATGTAATATTAGTTAATAACCTGACAGAGAGGGGAAAATACCCCTGAATTCACAGGTTAACCTAAGGCCATCTATGAAGATATAGGAAGGTTCAGCTATGAAGTCCCCTCTTACAGCACTTGAATTATACAAACCTTTAAATGCCGCCCAGTGTAAAGCATTATCACCATCTTTGTCAGTTATCTGGAGTCGTGCTCCTTTCCCCATAAGGTAGCCAGCTAATACAGTCTTGCCATACTGTGAGGCAACAATAAGAGGAGTACATCCTTTTGTGTCTACTTCATCAATCGACACACCTTTCTGCAGCAGTAAATCCACTATTGACACATGTCCATTGACGCATGCCCAATGTATGGGACGTTGCCCTAGTTCATTGTCACTTGGTTCATTTATTAACCCCTTATTGTCTAGAATGAACTTGAGGATTTGTAGCTGACCCCCAAGGGCTGCCCAGTGAGCAGGAGTGTGTCCTTTGTCATCCCGGCTATTTAGAATTTCCTCACCATCAGTTTCGACTAGAGTCTGAACAGGAATTAACATTCTGGAAAGAAAATAAAAAAACTGGATACATAACAGCAATGTCGAAGCGCAGTAAATCGCAGTAAAAACCATTTAAGTACAACTTAAGAAATGGCTTCCATTTCATACTCTGAGAGATGTCTCCTTTGATGACCGATTTTGAAGTTAAGAATTGATGATGTTCATCTGAAACAAACAGAGATAACTGATATTTCCATGATTTCAAATTTTACTTTGCACATGGATGCATGGCTCTTAGCCAAGAGGACACACCATTCGTCCAAATCCCGATCGTCTGGATCCCATTCATCTGAATCCAATTGATCTGAATCCCAATCGTCCGAATCCCAAAGTCAGAATCTTATTGGTCCATATCCCATTTGTCCGAAACCTAATGATCCTAAAATTAACAATATTGTCGATATTTTTCGTAAGGACCACAGGGAAATATCATGATAGAAAGACTTTGCCTAACTTTTTAGCATTCAAATTTTTTGATCAAATCTATGAATATGCTGTTCATCACTTAATGTGCAGTCATGTAAGGTTACGGCAAACGTGAAAATGAGAGTTGTAAGTTGGAAATTAACGCATCTAATTTTAACATTTAATTGTTGGACGTTTTTAAAGAATTAGTTTTACAAGCAAGTGAGTCGCTTTTCTGTTGAACCCAAATCAGAAATAAAGCCCAAGATTGACTAAAATTGGCAGTAGAATATACAAAGTGTAAAACGCTAAACATAATATTAACACTTAAAGTCCCCATCTAAAGTTTAAACCACTTTGGCTTATATTGTAGTCTTACCCAATGTTATCAAAGTGTGATATGTGAAACTTTTTTTTTAAATTTCAAAAAGTGGTTTTTGATAGACTTTTTGTTCCAAAATTTGTGAATTTATTTAAAACTAACTTTCAGAGGTCACACATATCTTTTAATTAGCCAAAACTCATACCAATGCATAGCATTCATCCACGCATGTTTTTGCTGAAAAAATTAAGAAAATCAGTTCATAAATAAGCAAGAAATGAACTTATCAGTGCATGAAAATGGTTCCGAGAAAAATGCATTTAAAAATTCTAGTTCTCATAGAAACCAATGGTACAATGATATCTAAAACATAATATATTCTTCCTTTTAACCTGGTTAGACAATCAACATTGGTATATTATTGAAGTCTAGCATATTCAGAAAAGATTGGCATCGAAAAAAAATTTTCTATTTTTTTCAAAAAGTTTTTGTTACCTTTGTGACATCACTAAGGGGCGGGGTCAAAATATCAATGTTCATATGGAGACGAAAGTAATTTCGTTTGGACAACAACCCCCCCACCCCCCCTCTAGACGAAAGCTTAGGTCACTTCAAAAAAACATTGATTAATAATCGTATCCTATTTGCCGGGTTATTATTACGGTGAATTAACACACGTTCGCAATTTAACTGCATTGAACTCTTCAAAAGGAGGAGGGAAAAGTACGGAATTTATTTGAAAAATGATCGAATTATCGTCTATATCTACCGATATTTTGGACCTATCACACAAAAAAGCTCACGAACTATTGAAAACAAGGCTTTTTATCAGAACATAGCGCCAGAAAAAGTGGGTAAGTCCAATTATTTTTTGTATATCTGATCCGAATTATCGATGTTTTTTTGGTCAACGAAAGTGCCCAAAACCCCCTCCCCCCCCCCCCCCTCGCGAAAGTACTTTCGTCTCCATATGAACATCGATATTTTGACCCCGCCCCTAATGTTTCAAAATATTTTTGATATGCTAAAACATTAAAGTGGCCTATTAAATATGGCATTTTATTATTGAAATAGTGTGTCCTTTGATCAATCTTTGCATTGGTGTTAAAAAGATAATCTTTTTTGAAATGCATTAAGAAATATTTGATGATTAAAAAATGTCAAATTTTTTGAAAAATGGCGGGAAATTTGAATATTTGAGAAATGAAATGCTCACAACTTTTTTTTCAAAAAATATTTTCTTTCAAAAATCTCTAGAATAACTTTTTAAGTAATGACAATTAGTAAATGAATGATAAAAAAATATTTTCAAACTTTAGACGGGGACTTTAACATAATATTAACACTAAACATAATATTAAAACTTTAACATAATATTAACACTAAAGATAATATTAACACCAAACATTTATTCAAAAATCCCACATTAGAGTCGGAGTGATACTTTATTCAACCTTCGTCCTTCACACATTTCTAATCTCGCATTTTATCTTAATATATAATTACAAGATGGGATTCAGACCAATAGAATTCAGATGATTGAGATTGGGATGAATGGGATTGAGATGCTTGGGATTCACACAATTGGGATTCCTCGGACCATTCGAATTTCAAAGCTTCTATCAAATTTTCAAAGCTCCTATCATTTGTGCAGAAAAATTCAAAAGCTCTGTTTGGTCACCTTTCTAAATAACTAACTAACTTTAACTATTTTTCAGTTTGTACTAACTCTATTATAGCCCATCCAAATTAAAAGAAATTTCAATCATTTGTATAAGGCGAATAGAAGTTTTCAACTTTGCGCATTTCATCATCTGGGCGCAAACTGAGAGCACTTTAAGGTCCAACTGGGCACGGTGCCCGGTGAAAAGTGGCTGGGGATATTATAGAAAGGTCAAAACAGAACATGTTTTTGTGCAATCTTAACAATCATTTTGTCACATTTCAAGAGGGCTGGTTCTAGTCCCATGCTCAGGTTGCGTGATTGTAAAATTTAGACAATTTATTTAGATTTAGATTTTTGCGTGATTGTAAAATTTAGACAATTTTATTGGTTGAATTGCGCGTATTAACTAATAAACAACATGTGCGGTAAACTATTATCAACACAACTTTTACTCAGAATTCCTTCCGCGGTGATTTCTTCTCATATTTCAATAATTTTGAAATATTTTGACAAAATAATGTTTGGGGAACATTCATGATTACATATTTCATAAGTTGTGTGAAAATTGACCACATATATGATGAAAGGGGAACTATTTTCCCCTATTTTGGGGATTTTCTTCATCTGCCCGCCACAGTGTCTACAGTCTGTTTCACTGCTTCAAAGGCAAGCAGTTGAACCTGAAATATAAGAAATCTAAATAATATTGTGCAATAAATATAGAGAAATATATTCATATTGCACACGAATGTTGGATTTCTTGTAAATTGGCTCATAAACTCTGTAACCTCTTATATTTTGATGCTTCTCTACCATGTTAATTCTCAAAAAAATAACATGACGGACAGACCTCAAATTACAAGAGGGCACAGGCTTATTGCACTAAACACTGAATAATCTGAAATATACAAATGTCATTCGTGTGCAGTATGAATATATTTTTCTATATATTATGGCAAAATGGTCTTTAGATTTCTAAATTTTCAGGTTCAACTGCTTGCCTTTGAAGCAGTGTAAAATCTGAACACAAATTCTCGGTAGAAGTTCATGTGGTGAAAATAACGAAATAATGAAATGTTACCGTGTGTCTACTTAGCAGTTTGTTCTATGTCATCCATCCTGCTAGGTTACATTGTGGAACGCAGCCAAACATGACAATGAAGGCAACAACATGTCGATGTTGATCTTAGCAGAATTTTTAGAAATTTAGATCGTCCATTTTGCAAGCTCACGTGACTGACATGTGACACGTGTCTGATCACGTGACTAGTTACCGTATCGATCATGTGACTTAATGACGTGTCACCCAACCATGTCTTCAAGGAAAATGGAAGTAAATATTTTGGAAAATGTTTTCCGAGCATTTGCCACTGATTATAGAAGGCCCAATTACGCAACGAACGAAACTGCTAATTGTATTTCATGCCTAACAGGCCCAGTACGCAATGAAAGAAACTGCTAAAAATTGTATTTTTAGTCTGCTTATTGATCTATTGATTCATAAAGACCTGAAATGATGCATTCAAATAAGACCGCCTCCTAAATGAAAACACTACACATAAAGTGGTGAAAAACAATGAACTAAAATTGAAAGATCGCAACGTTCGCTACTTTGTTCAATTCTGGAAGTCTCTAAGGGGCTGCAGAAGAAGAAATGGGAAATTTTTACGATTTAGATTTTATAACCTCAGAATACTAGACTATATCCTCTAGTCTGAAATTTTTTTGAAATTTGGAATGAAAATATTCACATATGTTAAAATTTGGGATTGAAAAATATTTGTTTACATAGGAAAGGCCGACTGGGTAAATTAATTTGCATACTTGTTACTTCCCCTAGCTTTATTTCCATTTGACAATATGCTGTGTTACTTTTCATAGCATTTAATTGTACTTTACTACTTAATTGAATTGTTATAATGCTTATTTTTGGGAAGGGAAGTTTCTTAAAATTGATAATTGTGTGCCTGAAATTTCCTGTTTTTTCCCACAGGAGGGACATAATGATCAATAGACTGAATTCTCAGGAAATTCAGTCTATTGGATATAGACTACTCAGAATACTGCCTTCATTGTCATGTTTGGCTGAGTTCAACAATGTAATCTTGCTGGAGGGATGACATAGAACAAACTGCTAAGTAGACACACGGTAACATTTCATTATTTTGTTATTTTCACCATATGAACTTCTACCGAGAATTTGTGTTCAGATTCTAACAGACTGTATACCGAGACACTGCATGTGAGTTTGGGAGCAAACGTGCTCAATGGTTCGAGGTCTCCCAAAAATAGTTGCTACGCTCCTACTTTGCACTGCCTTCGTCAGAGGAGACCTCGAAAAAATTTCAAAAATCTTAGGTCTAGAACTTCAAAAAAAATTGTTTGGAAGTTCAAGTGAAGTTGAAGTGCAACGGAAAATTCAAGAAAAACATTGAAACATGCCAAACTGGTAGAACTTACCCCGACTTTACCACATCAAATATGGTCGGCATTTTAGGAGTAGTTGTTCCATTGCCACCTGAGCAGCAACCATCGCCTGCATGCTGGTGTTTATGCTTGTTTTCCATCAAATTTTGAGTTTCATCGTTTTGCGGAGCAACCGCCATGTTTGGAATTTATGATCAGGTCTGTTTTGATTCCTGATCTAGATGAATAACTGACACCTTTTGTCGAATATGTATTGTTTAAACTAATGTGTATATAATTATTATTTACAAGATTTCGTCGATTTGCAAAATATGTATACTCAATATTGGCAATGCACCATAAATAAATTAAATATATTTGAATAATTAAGACCTGTTTTATGGAAACTAGGAAATAACTGTTACACAAATACATTCTAAATATGTCTTTCAGATAATCAACATTTGATTATATGACTCGATCGGTATTTCCAATTTTGGCATCTGATTACATTAAATAAGATTCAAAAGTTGATCTATTTGTTCTAATGATAGTTTTATTTGATATTTCGTAAAGGGTTAATCTTGCGTACATGCTTTTCATGATTCTAAAAATGGCTGCGGCGATGGACGTTGACGAAGAAGTGCCAACTGGGAGCACAGACAAAGGTGGAAAGAAGCGGTTTGAAGTAAAAAAGGTAATTTACATATGACTCTTTCATATTATATAACTTAAATTGGTTTCCACATATCGATTCAGTTCAAATAGGAGTTTATATATCTAATTTACAAACCGGAAGTAATTTTTTCTTGGTCTCAAAAGTCAAATCATCATTTAGATCATGGACGTCTAATACATTCTTCGAAATGTGATAGATATCAAATACAAATTTTGGAGTCCCAATATCTTTCGCCAGAACACTCTCTTCGTCATCGATTTAGATACACGATTTGATCAATCAGTTTCACAGATCTACATGTAATCTTTACCTATGTCAAAGGCTGTGACTAATAGTTATTTATTGCAAACCTACTGTTCGTTGATGCAGTGTCGCAATGACGGTTAATTCCTGATACGATTTGCAATTTAGATGTTATCGGGGCTGACCGACATTTTTGTAAAATTCCAAACCTGTCTCCGATATTTTTTTAATTATGCATCAATAGGGTCTAAGGGGGATACGGGATGGTGTGTATGTATTTATAAGGTATGTATGCATGCTTGAATCACATTCTTTATGTAATATGACCATGTTTTCAGAGTTTAATTAGTTCCGCTTGTCGAAACCTGCGGAACGATTAAATTAACGCATCAAGGGCAAAATGATCATGGACGTTAGACCTAGCCGGGGCCATAAGACATGTCAGATAAGAAACGAGGCCCAGGCTAGGTCTAATGTTGTTGGACTAAGGCCCCGGGAACATGTATAAAAAAATTGAGTCAACATCTGTTTTACTTATTACTTCTAAGATGGGTATCCAAAACCAGAAATTCTGAAGATGTCAACTTTTGATGGTCAAGGTGCCATGATACTTAACAGGAAATGACAAAACAGGAAGTGACAAAAAATTCTGCATTTTTAGACATTTTTTGAACAAAGATAACAGAGTTCTGAAAATTTTATAAAAAACGTGTTCCTATATATAAGTTAGGCGATGACATCCAGCGTATGCTATTTCCTCGTTGGTAATAACATATCGCACTTCTTTGAGGAGATAGTGTATTTGAAATCATAAATATACATCAACCAATATTAATGCAGTATTTCTTACATCTGAACTCTATTTTACATGCAATCTTTATTTCCAGTGGAATGCAGTGGCGCTTTGGGCATGGGGTGAGTAACATAGCAATATAGAGAGGTTATCAATCTTGGCTTCAGGATTCAAGATCTTAATAGAATAGATGGTTCAATCTTGATAAAAACAATTGTCTATTATTATCTAAAGCTTATGAGATATTAAACAGAACTTAGATATTCCAAAATTACAACTTGGGGCTTTTTATTTTTATGAATAAAGACTAGAATTGTATGAGACAACTTTCAAAAAAACTTGAAACAAAGGTTGTTTGTTGTTTTTTTAATTTCAAATGATTGAATTTCCTGCAGTTTTAGTAAAAACATTAAAACTTCTGTTCTGTAATGCATACATTAGATTTTTAGCAATTTAGAACATTTGTGATATCATCAGGTTTTACTTTAATGACATTTAGGGTGCATCGTTTCTTTTCAAATAGATTACGATGTTTGCTGATTATGACAGATCAACGTGACCATTTAATCATTTTCAACTTTTTGAAATACACTTTAAGCTCAACACACTTATTAATTGCACAGGGCCTAAAAACTAAATGTGTTTTACCATTACAGATATTGTTGTTGATAATTGTGCCATCTGCAGAAACCACATAATGGATCTTTGCATTGAGTGCCAGGCAAATCAAGCCTCAGCCACCAGTGAAGAATGCACAGTTGCATGGGGCGTATGTAATGTAAGTGTTATTTTCTCATATTGAGCTTATATAATAATAACCCAATATTGTCCAATAACTTGTGATCAGATTTCTCCAAGTTATGTCCAATTGCTGTTCTGTTCTCTTTCTCATAACAAATAGACTTTCTATTCTCCAAGATTTGTCCAATCGCTATTCTTTTCTCTTTCTCATAACAAATAGACTTTCTATTCTCCTAGTTATGTCCAATTGTTGTTCTGTTCTCTTCCTCATAACAAATAGACTTTCTATTCTCCTAGTTATGTCCAATTGCTGTTCTTTTCTCTTTCTCATAACAAATAGACTTTCTGTTCTCCTAGTTATGTCCAATTGCTGTTCTGTTCTCTTTCTCATAACAAATAGACTTTCTGTTCTCCTAGTTATGTCCAATTGCTGTTCTGTTCTCTTTCTCATAACAAATAGACTTTCTGTTCTCCTAGTTATGTCCAATTGCTGTTCTTTTCTCTTTCTCATAACAAATAGACTTTCTGTTCTCCTAGTTATGTCCAATTGCTGTTCTTAAATCTCTTCCTCATAACAAATAGACTTTCTGTTCTCCTAGTTATGTCCAATTGCTGTTCTGTTCCCCATATCAAATAGACTTTCTGTTCTCCTAGTTATGTCCAATTGCTGTTCTGTTCTCTTTCTCATAACAAATAGACTTTCTGTTCTCCTTGTTATGTCCAATTGCTGTTCTGTTCTCTTCCTCATAACAAATAGACTTTCTGTTCTCCTAGTTATGTCCAATTGCTGTTCTTTTCTCTTTCTCATAACAAATAGACTTTCTGTTCTCCTAGTTATGTCCATTTGCTGTTCTGTTCTCTTCCTCATAACAAATAGACTTTCTGTTCTCCTAGTTATGTCCAATTGCTGTTCTTAAATCTCTTCCCCATATCAAATAGACTTTCTATTCTCTTAGTTATGTCCAATTGCTGTTCTTTTCTCTTCCTCATAACAAATAGACTTTCTGTTCTCCTAGTTATGTCCAATTGCTGTTCTGTTCTCTTCCTCATAACAAATAGACTTTCTGTTCTCCTAGTTATGTCCATTTGCTGTTCTGTTCTCTTCCTCATAACAAATAGACTTTCTGTTCTCCTAGTTATGTCCAATTGAATAGTTATGTCCTAGTTATGTCCAATTGCTGTTCTGTTCTCTTCCTCATAACAAATAGACTTTCTGTTCTCCTAGTTATGTCCAATTGCTGTTCTGTTCTCTTCCTCATAACAAATAGACTTTCTGTTCTCCTAGTTATGTCCAATTGCTGTTCTTAAATCTCTTCCTCATAACAAATAGACTTTCTGTTCTCCTAGTTATGTCCAATTGCTGTTCTTAAATCTCTTCCTCATATCAAATAGACTTTCTGTTCTCCTAGTTATGTCCAATTGACGTTCTGTTCCCTTTCTCATAACAAATAGACTTTCTGTTCTCCTAGTTATGTCCAATTGCTGTTCTTAAATCTCTTCCTCATAACAAATAGACTTTCTATTCTCCTAGTTATGTCCAATTGCTGTTCTGTTCTCTGCCTCGTGTCAAATAGACTTTTTGTTGCAAAAAATATTGCTATATTTGCCTACTGTAATACAGGGTGAGCCAAAAAAGGTATCCTAAACAAATGTTAATAAATCAGTCATTCAGCATAGGTTTAAGGTAACATTTGACACATATAAACCTTGTTTAATGTCCCTTAATTTCTCCAAGTGCTGTTTTATGACAGTTATTTGTTTGGGTTACCTTTTGTGGCTCACCCTGTATAATCTACATTTTATTTCCAGCATGCCTTTCATTTCCACTGTATCTCTTGTTGGTTGAAGACAAGGCAGGTCTGCCCCTTGGACAAATATAGTAATATAATCTACATGTTATTTCCAGCATGCCTTTCATTTCCACTGTATCTCTCGTTGGTTGAAGACAAGGCAGGTCTGCCCCTTGGACAAATATAGTAATATAATCTACATTTTATTTCCAGCATGCCTTTCATTTCCACTGTATTTCTCGTTGGTTGAAGACAAGGCAAGTCTGCCCCTTGGATAATTATAGTAATATAATCTACATTTTATTTCCAGCATGCCTTTCATTTCCACTGTATCTCTCGTTGGTTGAAGACAAGGCAGGTCTGCCCCTTGGACAACAGGGAATGGGAGTTCCAGAAGTAAGTTGCATTTTTATTATAAATATTACTATAATGTATTATGGATATACAATGGTTATGCACTGGGAGGTTTTGGATACAGGTTTTAACCCATGGGAAATATGTGTATTTCATGAGGGTCTGAAGGGATTGAGGTATATAAACATATTTTCGAGGGATAAATCCAGAATCCACAACCAACAGAAATAGTTCATACCTACTTGGCATATTTTTATGGGACTAGAATGGATACAGCCTGTATTTCCTGGAAATTGGCTGTAGCATAAATACAGAAAACAACTTTCCCACCCCTGTGTACAAAATATATCCCAACACTTTATGTTACGCCTAGAACTTCTGTAGTTAAATGCCATTGATGCCATTAACTTGGATTATTCAACCCCTCCATTTGAACATCTCTTAAATGTAAAAATCTCTATTCAACCATCCCTTTAAAGAGATCCAGATCTGGACTCCCCAAAGCACAATTAGAGTAACCCTCTGGTACTTTCTTGTTATTTGATGTATACCAAAGTCTATCAACTTACCAATGTTGGAGGTTCAACCAATTTGTTACATATTTAGTTTATATAATACAAGATGTAAATGCTAGAACTTAAAGTCTATATTTTTTGTATTTTCAGGTATGGACACTGATACTATGTGGAGGTCCTGCTGTAAAGGACAATGTCTTATGAATTAAGAAATTCCAGACTCCTTTAAAGATAGAGATTTGTACTCTAGAGATACAAATAGAGACTTGTAAATATTACCAAAGCAGACTTGTGTAAATATTTATCATCTTATAAAACACTTTCATACTTTAGAGCTACCAACCTAAAACATCTTAGTTGTCATGGTAGTATGAAAACAAATCAGAATTAATAAACAATAAATTGAAAAAAACAAAAGTAAACTATAAAGAGCAGAAGCATACAAGTATTTTGTATTAAATAATACAAGCATTTTGCATTAAATAATACAAGTATTTTGTATTAAATAATACAAGTATTTTGCATTAAATAATACAAGTATTTTGTATTAAATAATACAAGTATTTTGTATTAAATAATACAAGTATTTTGTAATAAATAGTACAAGTATTTTGTATAAAATACAGTATATTGAATAGCTTACTAATATAAACATACTATGTAAAACTTCTGATAATACTAGACTTCTACATTCTCACTCCAAGAGTGCATGTAATTTTCAACATACCCTTTATGATCGCTTGTTTTATATATCTCCTTTTTACACATAAAATATATGAGCTCTAAACAAACTTGTTTTTCTGTTTTGATACCATTTGTATATTGTATTGGCGGTGCTGCCATCTTATTTGGTTCTTGCTTCACCTTTGTTAGTTAAACACTTTTGCGAGTTGATTCTCTTAGCCTCACCAAAATGGTTAATCACTTTTGCGAGTTGATTCTCTTTAGCATCACCAAAATGGTTAATCGATTTTGCGAGTTGATTCTCTTAGCATCACCAAAATGGTTAATCACTTTTGCGAGTTGATTCTCTTAGCCTCACCAAAATGGTTAATCACTTTTGTGAGTTGATTCTCTTTAGCATCACCAAAATGGTTAATCGATTTTGTGAGTTGATTCTCTTAGCCTCACAAAAATGTTTAATCACTTTTGTGAGTTGATTCTCTTAGCCTCACCAAAATGGTTAATCACTTTTGCGAGTTGATTCTCTTAGCCTCGTCAAAATGGTTAATCACTTTTGCGAGTTGATTCTCTTAGCCTCACCAAAATGGTAAAACACAACCTTATGTCGACATGTTGAATGGTGCTGTCATCTATTGTGTTGTCCCAATCTTAGAATGCTCACACTTTGCATATCAAAGTGAACGCAATATGTCCTCAAACAATCATTATATTATGCAAATTAAAAATGAATGAACTGTATAGTGTGTGGCATTGGCATTCTGAGACAGACTATTTTCAAATATTTTAAAGTACATTAAATAAGCATTAACATATATTAAATTATTTAATTTGAATATGGGAGAACGTATTTGTGACACTTATAGTTTGAAAACTATGTAATCTTTTTTTACTCTGGAATATTCTTACTTATAAAAGTGGACATGATATACATGTTATCTACATGTACATGTAACGCAAACGTGGTCATATTCAAGTCGTCTATGTGCTGATGGACGTGGATGTATCTGGATAGCCGGGGGAATCTTGTTGTTTAAATTGCAATGTTTATCTGCGCAATGTACTTGTCTGAACAATTCATTCCTTAAACCACAATTTATTTAATAAACAGGTTTTAACATACAAAGCGAAAATGAGCTTATTTATTGCATTTCTGTTTGAAACACTGTTTAGTGCATTTCTCCATACACTGCTTCTTCTTCTTGCTTTTCTTACACACGTTCTTCGCACATTTTCTATATCGACAGAGCTGCTTGCATTCTGAAAGTTGGAAAGATCAGTTGCAAATTAAAAGAAATATTGCGGCACTTATTCGTTTTAACTTAAATACGAATGTAGTTTAATTGTTAATCGTGAGGCATTCAAGTTAACTGCTAAGTTGATATGACTATTCATTGTGAACATACTACTCATGTCTAAATATTCATAGAATGACAAAATTGGAGAAAACCATGATTTCAAAAAGCGACACGTTCATATTTATTTGCCATTGTGCAATAATGTATAGAAAACCTACATATTCATACTGCACACGAATGACATTTATATATTTCAGATTATTTAGTTTTCAGTGCAATACGCCTACTGTGCCCTCTTGTAATGTGAAGTCTATCCGACATCTTATTTTTTCCAAAATCAACATGGCAGAAAAGCAAAAAATATAAGAGGTACAGACTTGATAAGCGAATTCACAAGCAATTCAAGATCTACAAATGTCATTCGTATGTAATATAAAACTATTTTTATATATTGTTGCACAATAGTCTTGAATTTCTTATTTCATTATGACACAGTTTTTGTTCAGTTTATCAAAAGCAAGAGCGTTCTGGCGGACTCGAACGGCCTTTCTACGTAATGAATGAGCCTTGGAATCAAATGTCATCGAAATTCTTTATAAATCTATAATTTCATGCCTTTACACATGTTGGGTTGCAAATCTCGATTGTTGGCCCCTAAAACCCAAAATTAGGCCCAACATGAAAGTGACGAAAATATCCCTTACTTTTACGTTTATCAACATTTGGCTTCATCTTTGGCGGTGGTTCATTGTAGTTGAATTTGGGCACACTGTTACCTCTAACCATCTTGAACGCCCTTTTCAGTGGCGCTGAATCGTCAGCGATGTTCTGGGTTCGCAGTGGTTCTGGATTTGTTACTCGTCCCATGAATAATGTTACATGCCTAGACCTGTCCCTGACCAGTAACATGTAAGGATGGTTACAATGAACGGTGACTGGTGGCTCAGATATTGATCGACTTGACACAAGTGCAGACATCGCCATCGCTTCTGTACCTACAGGCAAAATGCATTAAACATTTGAAAAGTGTCCAAGATCTCTACTTTGTTACCTTCCATATATACAATCCCGGGTAAAATATGTTACCTACCGAGTTCGATCGGAAAGGCTACTTTTTAGGTTAAATTCCATTTCAAAATAGTACTCGATGCATATATATTTTACGCTGGTTCGGCATTTGGACTTAAGTTTCAAGATAATTTTCACTTCTAGTATTGCATTTGTAACATTTCTATCCCACGGGGAACACACTGACAACGGAGACGTCTGATTCCGTTATCCAAAATTGCGGACGAAGGTTCATATTCTTTTCAATGTTCTTCCACTGCATGTTTAACAGAATTCGTAGATTAAATTCCTTTGGCACAAAAATCAATAAAAGTGTATTTTTACTAATCGTTAAGTTCAATATGTTCTCACTTCGTTAAAAAGACCTACAAATTAAATCAATAATTAATTAATGATATGGTACATGACAACGGATCCATTGTCTTTGATGATATTAAAAACGGTTACGTTAGCAATTTTGGACAACGAAATCTGATGTCGATGTTGTCGGGGTATTCCTGTGATTATCTAACATTATCCCATGGTTGCAAAGATATAGATTTTCAAAGATGTATTTTTACATGTAGATCTCAAATGATATCACCACGTTTTGAATATTTAATGACGTAAATCAAGGTTATTTCTACTTGCATCTACAATTATAATATTTCTACAATAAAAACAACGACATAATAATGGGCATAACAAACCTTCTTCATGTATGTCAATGGCAGCCTCGTGTATTATCTCCGAAATGTCCATTCTTGGATCATCACTCAATCCATTCAAATTTATATTACCTGAAAACAAATCTACTAGCCCAATATCTTTTAAAAGATTCCTTAGCTTCACTTTGGATTTGAATGCCAATCTTGGCAAATAAACAAATGCCTTTTCAACATTTACAAGTTTTTCCAGTGCTGTGTTTAGAACGTCATCAGTAAGAGTATTTTCTAGTTCTTCAAGACCGCCACGGTCATCGGGTAGGACGATAATCATAACTGTCTCAGAGTCCTTGTTTGCTGAATAGGATAGTTCAACAAACTGGGCCTTGAGCTCAGAACTGTGGTAATAGCGATGACTGCCCGCCTGCCTCATCATGGCCACTTGGATACTTCTATTATGGCTCATAAAAAATGTGTCTGCTATGGTCGAAGCCGGATCAAACTTCTCGAGCCATTGTCCTTTGAAATATATAGCATTCACTAAAACCATTACTGTGAGACTGTCGATATCTCCCTCACTGAGAATATTTGGGATCAATTTGTTCGTTCTGTAACTTACCCAATCATTTATTTCTTCCATGCTTTCTTCAATATCTGTAAAATCTAATTGTTTTACACTTGCTCTGTAAAATGTTTTAATGTCTTCAATGAAGGTTGCCTTGACGTCAAAGCTAATATCATGGTATATGCGATTGGCTGCTAAGGCCATGTTATCGGTACTGTCATTCCAAAGTTCATCATTTACGCACTTGTACGCTTGATGTAAAACGCCTTTCTCAACAAGTGAGCCAACATGCAATGCCCTCTTTAGTTCATCTAAAGTACTTCCCTCTGCCCCGAGCATAACCATTGACATTATAATTGAAATGCTTAACGGGCTGAAGATGACATTTTCCGTTTGCTTATTCTTAACAAATGCTTTATACACATCAACTGAGAAGTTGTCTATGGCTTTTGTCAAGCGATCTACGTCCGGACAAACCGCTTTTTTCCCAGGTCCATATTTGGAAGAAGAGTTGCTTTTTTTAAGTTTGGTCTCCTCGCTCGATTCGCTGTCTCCTGTATTTCCACCTGCTTCTTTAATAGACCCACCCTTGCCCTTTCCTTTCCCTTTGCCGATTGTGATGCCGTCTATCTTGGCGTTATTCAGCTTGAAGCAAATGCTAAGAATGGTCAACGTTATGACGGCCTTCAATAGAGCCATTGTGTGTTGTATCCAATTGCACACTTTGCAAATATTAAATGTGATATTGTAAATTCGAGTACCAACCCAAGGAAGATAGAACAAACAAAGAAACTCATTTTTGCAATTCAATAATTCATATTCTGCATTGCTTTTGTTATACATTTATCTTTTGTTTGATAGTTAATAACCAAACGTTTCCGCATGATTTACGACGGTAAATTCAAACAAAACAGCTATATCTAGAAGTACCATGTATCAGTGTTTTCTCTACAAATATTATGAATATGATTATAACAGTCGACAAACAGTTAAAAATAACAAACCACATAGAATAATTGAGTAATTACGCCAGATAATTTATATTAGAGATAAAATATTTATACTAATGGAGTTTGAGGTACCCTAAACTTCTGATGTTAAGCAACATGCCAGATTAGTCAATCGCAATGTTTAAATAGCATTATATCAGACTAGTCCATCGCAATGTTTTAACTACAATTTCACATTAAGATCTCAGATAGCTCATAGTCATATTTGAAAACCATTTCCCTCTTGTTTCCTTTGAATTTGATGTTTTGGGTCCCGTAGAGATTAAAAGATGGCATCTTTTTAACATTTTCAAATTCTATATTCTCTTGATAATCAAAAGTACTTAATTTTTATCAAAATAAATTGAAATCATATTTTAATATTTAAAAGGTAGTTTTATATCGGAAAAAGTAAAAAAAGTTTTTAGATGGCAACCTTGTGTGACTCCATTTTAAAAGCCAAAGCCTATCTAAGAATTAGAACGAAATGTTTTTATCAAGGTAAGTCAGTACACTGTTGCCCATAAATATGGATATTATTAATTGTTTGGTATAGTTCTTACAAATGATAATAATTTGTTAAAAATGTTTATTGCCTCCCGATTTCCACTTCATATTTGCATAAAAAACTGATTGTTATTAAAAGTAATTCGTGGAGGTGGTCCTGTTTGTATTTGAGGTGGTGTTCACCAAGGAGAGTCACATCCCCTTGGTGAGTCTGAACTGTAATGTCAGCGGTGAGAGATACAGTGACCTTTTGGACCTACATCTATTACAACATGCAAACAGAGTCTTTGGGCGTTTATGATCAAGCTCCTGCGCATCATAGCTGCATTGTGTGGGTTCCACCAGGGCAGGCAATGTGGAGCAGCTACCAAAGGCACCAACGTCACCTGATCAGGCTCCTGTAGAGTACATGTGGGATGAGACTGATAGCGCAATTCTTGACACGGATCCCCTATCTCAAAAATTAGCAGAGTTATATTCTCCTCTGATTGAGTAGTGGACCTTATTCCGCATAGACAGGTCGGACATCTCATTGACAGCAAGCCCCGCGAGATAGCATGCTCTGATTGCGGCACTAGGAAGTCATACCGCATATTAGTGCTGTTATGGGATAGAGGACTCATTCATCTTCATGACCTGATGTTTAGTTTGTTTGATCCGGTTTACATTAAAATTGTTTAAAATGTTTTAGACTACCCCATTTTAAACGACAGTAAATTTCTAAACTTAAATGTAAATAATGTTTCCCTAAAAATGTTAATTTGCAGATTAAATATGTGTTGATGATTTGCCTAGAAAAGAAATTGCTTAAACGACTCCAAATAAATGTTGTCTTCATCCAGAACTTGAATTCTGATCTGAAAAATCTAATATTCCATATTTATGAGCAACAGTGTATGTCACGGAGTACCGCACAACGACACTTCATTATTTAAGGCAGTCCAGGGTCTGGTAACCACTGGGGGTTTAGTATAGATAGAATTAAAACTCAATCAATAGGATTGTGTAATTAATTTATTACAAAAGGGTAATCTTAAGAAAATACAAATTTTCAGTTATAAGTATGGACTCAATATACGGAAGCCAGTACACATTATTCTTTATAAGTTATAAGTATTGACTCAATATACGGAAGCCAGTACACATTATTCTTTATAAGTTATAGGTATTGACTCAATATACGGAAGCCAGTACACATTATTCTTTATAAGTTATAAGTATGGACTCAATATACGGAAGCCAGTACACATTATTCTTTATAAGTTATAAGTATGGACTCAATATACGGAAGCCAGTACACATTATTCTTTATAAGTTATAAGTATGGACTCAATATGCGGAAGCCAGTACACATTATTCTTTATAAGTTATAAGTATGGACTCAATATACGGAAGCCAGTACACATTATTCTTTATCAGTTATAAGTATGGACTCAATATACGGAAGCCAGTACACAATATTCCTTCTCCACTGTTAACAACTAATCAGACTCTGCATGCTGCGAAGCAAGTTTCTTTACACGGTCGTTTGCAGTCCTTATATTCCAGGAATGTGGCCGCGTCCGTCTTGAAGCCTTTCTCTAGTTCCATACTCTCTTTACAATCAGCCCGGCACTTCTTTCTGCATGCCATCTTACACTCTACGAAAATAAAAGTATTCATCTGCAGTGTCGAAAGTACCCGGGAGAAATTGGTGCGATACTCAAAGTTCATATTTGAAAATGTACATTCTGTTTTGAACCTGGATTTGAATATTCAACACAAAAAACAGATCATGTATTACCCTTACGCCTGTCCCTCTTGGAATCACCATTTGGTTCATCGAGATCTAACGGCTCGTCGTCTATCTGTATGTTTGGTCGCAGTTCTGGGTTCGTCACTCTCCCCATAAACAAAATGGTGTTGGTCGTTGTGTCCCGTATGATGAATATGAACGGATGATCACATGTGAAGTGCACTGGTGAAGAGATACCTGATCTTCCTCCTGTTAAAATTGTTACAGCCGAAGCTTCTGTTCCTAAAATAGAAAATGTCACCCCTCTTTAACCAAAAGTCTCCCTTTTATTCATTTATCAAAGCCTCCTTACAAGTATGTTTGTTTCGATTTAAACATTCATCTTTGTTACCTGCACGCAGAGTCTAGGGAAGACGAAGCCCTCTTTTTAGAAGTAAAGTCGAACGAATGCAAATGGTATTAAATTTGTTTTAAGTTCCAATCTATTGCATGTAATGTAAATCCTTAATTGCATGTTTACATACTCGCTAATGAAGAATCCTGATTTTGCTCCTGACCAAAATAAGGGTAAAACAAGCGTTTATTATGACACTCATTGAAAACAAGCAATTAAGGTTCAACATAAATGGGCCTTTATATGATATTAATTGCAAACATACAATTAAAGTTTAACAAAACTGACCTTAATATGATAACCATGGAGAACATGCAATTAAGGTTTCTTTACACGGTCGTTTGCATTTCTTATATTCCAACATAAACGGGTCTTTATATGACATGCATTTAGAACATGCAATTAAGGTTCAACACAAACGGGCCTTAATATGACATCCATTGAGAACATTCAATTAAAGTTCAACACATTCAAAGTATAAAAACAGGGGGCCCTAACACATTTGAACCTGCAAACTTCAAAATCGACGAAATCGAAACAAGGTTATGTCTTAGTAAAGGGTTTGACTTTATCTGCATCACGGAAACCTGGCTCAAGCAAGGTTACGACGTAAATTCAATTGAAATCAATGGCTACGATTTCAGTAGCAAAGAAAGAGAAACTAACGGCGGGGGAGTAGGAGTCTATTATAAGCACGGCCTCCCTGTCAAAAGACGTTTTGAATTGGAAAACAACCACATTGAATTAATGTGGCTCGAACTTCAGCACAACATGCACGCATCGTCGTTCATAGGGGTGTGCTACCGCCCTCCAAACCAGACAAGAGTGACACGTGAAAACTTCATAGAATCTTTCCAAGAATCAATCCTGCGCATTAAAGACCAAAATCCAAAATCCATATTCATACTTGGAGACTTAAACGATAGATGCAAAAACTGGTCTGATTCTCACGAAAATAGTGAACTAAAACATACCCTGGTTGACTTGCTAAATGCGATGGGTATTGACCAAATAATAGACGAACCGACCTACATACTTCCTAATTCCCAGAACCAACTAGATGTTATAATCACCGATTCGCCCGAAAATGTTATTGATCAAGGAACCGAAGATCCAATAGGGACATCTCACCACTCCCTTGTCTACTGTCACGTGCTCTCAACAATGAAAAAGCAAGCGTCTTTTAAAAGGGACATATGGTTATACAACAAAGGAAACTACGATTTGTTAAATGAGGCGATAAGTTCTGCAAATCTAGAAGAACTAGTTGAAAACACCCCAGACATAGAAGATTGTTGCAAAGCCTGGTCTGGAAAATTCTTAGAACTAGCCAAGAAATACATACCCTTCAAAACGATCACAGTAAATAACAAGGATAAACCATGGATAACTAGTAAAGTGAAGAAAAACATACGAAATAAAAAACGGCTCTATAACAAATTCAAAAGAACCAAGATCACAGGAGACTACACGGCCTACTCAAAAGCAAAGAATGATACGATTATCAGTATCAAGCAAGCAAAACTGGACTTCCAAGATAAAACTAACCAGCAGATCGAAAATATGTCAAAATCGGACAAATCACGCTGGCGTATTACGAGATATCTGTACAATGGTGATAAAAAGAAACCCTCCATCCCACCGCTCAGACTTGGCAACAGACTGATTTCAGACCCTAGAAATAAAGCAGAACTCCTGTGTTCCTACTTTGCTGAACAATCAAGAATGGAAGAATACGACCCAGATTGGATAGAAAATCCCCCCGATCCCATACACGTCATGGGAGACATTGAATTCAACGTCGAAGAAGTTAGAGACACATTACTTATTTTAGACACCACAAAAGCAAATGGAAAAGACGGAATTAGTTATACACTCCTGAGGAAAACCGCACACTCAATTTCCCCAAGCATAGCCAAACTCCTAAATAAATCTCTCACCACGGAGACGTTCCCTAAAATGTGGAAGGAAGCTTATGTCACACCAGTGTATAAGAAAAAGGACAAACACGAAAGAGAAAATTATCGTCCAATATCCCTGCTATCAAACGTCGCGAAAATAATGGAAAGGTTAATACACAAACGAGTCTACAACTTCTGCATGGAAAACAACCTGCTGACTTGGAGAAACTCTGGTTTCAAAGAAGAAGACTCGACGGTAAATCAACTAACTTATATCTTGCATAAAATTTATCAAGGATTCGAAGAAAGGACTGCAGCTTGTATTGTGTTCCTAGATGCAAGCAAAGCCTTCGACAGAATTTGGCACAGAGGCCTGCTCTACAAACTCAGCTCACTTGGCATTCAAGGAAAATTGCTTAAATGGTTCCAAAGTTACCTAGAAAAAAGAGAGATACAAGTTGTCATTGAAGGAAAAAAATCAACCTCACAACGCACAAACTGTGGAGTACCACAGGGCTCTATCTTAGGCCCTCTCCTCTTTCTGATATACACAAACGACATCATCGAAGGAATACAGTGTGACCCCACTTGTTTGCGGATGACACCAGTATAATGACATTCATAAATCGAGCAAATGTGCATGAGAAAACAACAAAAATCAACGCAGACCTAGACATGCTAAACGAATGGGCACAAAAGTGGAAAATGCATTACAACCCCACTAAAACAGAATACATGGTGATAACGTCATTACCTGTGACAACAAACGATCTGAATTTAACCTTATCCATAGGTGACAAAAGAATAAAAAAGGTAACATCACACACTCACCTTGGCTTGACCATTCAAGAAAACCTAAATTGGGAAAACCACATAAACAATCTGAGTGAGAAAACAAGAAGACAAATAGGAAACCTATTGAGACTCAGCGGACGCGTCCCTAGGCAACTTCAAGAAACATACTATAAAACCTACATCAGACCGATCATTAGGTACGCCTGCATCCTCTACGATAACTGTACTAACCAGCAAAGTCTTCGCATCGAGGGTATACAACGGCAAGCAGCACTAGCATGCACCAGGGCCTACGTGAGAACCGACACGGGTGAAATTCTTAAAGAGCTTGGATGGGACAAACTTGCTGAGCGACGAAAATATTACAAAATGATACTCGGATATAAAATAATGAATGAAAATCTACCCAAATATCTACTCGAAGTTAGCCCAAAAAGACCAAGTCGTCTGAACACTCGCCATTTTAACATGCAAACAATGTTAAGTAGAAGTGATAAAGTGAAAAGGTCTACCCTATACAGTGTCGCTACCACGTGGAACTCTCTCGGAGAAGAGCTGAAAACAACAGACTCTGTTGGTCGTTTCAAAATTGACTACAAAAAAGCCTCTCTAAGCAAACCAAACAAGCTATTCTCACAAGGAAAAGGAAAACATCACATAAACCTCTCAAGAATAAGAATGGGACTCAGTGCCCTGAATAATCAGCGCATGATGTACCAGCTCATACCCGATGGTAGTTGTGACAATTGTCCCTCAAACAGGGAAGACGTAACACACTACTTCCTAAAATGTCCCCTATACGAACACCAACGGGTCATCCTACTCGAAGGAATCGATAGAATAATTGAACAATACCCTCCTAAAACCAGACATAACCTCAAATCCATTGCATCTAAGGTTCAATTGCTCATTCATGGTAGCCCCTTGTTAACCCCAACATCAAACCAAAATATCCTAATGCTTTGTCAAAACTACATAAAAAACACTGGACGTTTTCCATGATAATCGTCAAACACACTTACTAATTTAAACTTCAATTATTATAGTATATTCCAACATCTCTAATTACTAGTATAATGTAAATAATAAAGAGAGGAGAGCCCCTCGATAAGCGAAATGCTTCTGGGCAATCCTCTTAAAATAAATACATTTTAAACAAAAAAAAAAAAGTTCAACACAAACGGGCCTTAATATGACAACAATTGAAAACAAGCAATTTAAGGTTCAACACAAACGGGCCTTAATATGATAAGCATTGAAAACAAGCCATTAAGTTTCAACATAAACGGGCCTTTATATGCCATCCATTGAAAATAAGCAATTAAGGTTCAACATAAACGGGCCTTAATATGACATCCATTGAGAACATGCAATTAAGGTTCAAACAAAAGGACCTTAATATGTCATCCATTGAGAACATGCAATTAAGGTTCAACACAAACGGGCCTTAATATGACATCCATTGAAAACAAGCAATTAAATTTCAACATGAACGGGCCTTAATATGACATCCATTGAAAACAAGCAATTAAGGTTCAACATAAACGGGCCTTAATATGACATCCATTGAAAATAAGCAATTAAGGTTCAACATAAACGGGCCTTAATATGACATCCATTGAAAACAAGCAATTAAGGTTCAACATAAATGGGCCTTAATATGACATCCATTGAAAATAAGCAATTAAGGTTCAACATAAACGGGCCTTAATATGACATCAATTGTCATGAAAACAAGCAATTAAGGTTCAACATAAACGGGCCTTAATATGACATCCATTGAAAACAAGCCATTAAGGTTCAACGTAAATGGGCCTTAATATGACATCAATTGAAAACAAGCAATTAAGGTTCAACATAAACGGGCCTTAATATTACATCAATTGAAAACAAGCAATTAAGGTTCAACATAAATGGGCCTTAATATGACAACAATTGAAAACAAGCAATTTAAGGTTCAACACAAACGGGCCTTAATATGACATCCATTGAAAACAAGCAATTAAGGTTCAACATGAATGGGCCTTAATATGACATCCATTGAAAATAAGCAATTAAGGTTCAACATAAACGGGCCTTAATATGATAGGCATTGAAAACAAGCCAGTAAGGATCCACGTAAACGGGCCTTAATTTGACATCCATTGAAAACAAGCAATTAAGGTTCAACATAAATGGGCCTTAATATGACATCCATTGAAAACAAGCCATTAAGGTTCAACATAAACGAACCTTAATATGACATCAATTGAAAACAAGCGATTACGGTTAATTTTCCAACTCATTATCCATTCTATCTTTGACCATAGCACCCATATTAAGATTCAACACAAACGGGCCTTAATATGACATGCATTGAAAACATGCAATTAAGGTTCGAGTGTATTCAAGCAATAAATGTTCAACATAAACAGGCCTTAATATGACATCCATTGAGTCCAAGCAATAAAGGTTCAACATAAACGGGCCTTAATATGACATCCATTGAGTCCAAGCAATAAAGGTTTAACATAAACAGGCCTTAATATGACATCCATTGAGTCCAAGCAATAAAGGTTCAACATAAACAGGCCTTAATATGACATCCATTGAGTACAAGCAATAAAGGTTCAACATAAACGGGCCTTTATTTGGTATCCATTGAATCTCTAGGTTTAGAAACTTATGAAGGGAAGTGTATCCAAGCGCATGTGAAAAAAGTCCAAATGCCCTGCAAATCAATCCTGCAGAACCAAGTGTGTACAAGTATCATTTCATATAAACCATTGGAATGAACAGCTATTGTTGCGTATATGCAATTGAGGTGAACAGACTTTTGAATGAAGATAAGATTGATCAAATAATGCGCTGCAAACACATTGGAATGAACAGATTAAGGAACTACACTGAAAAGTCAATCATTGAAATCACAAATACTTTTCGAAGAAATCAATGGAATTAACAGGTATCGTCCTGCATGGTCTGAAATATTGTATGGACAACTTCATTGTCGTATATATAAATGAGACACACACATCCATCCAAAATGACATGTAAAATTACCCCGCCCATGAATGTGTTTTGCCTTCTTCTTGTTTTTGACATTTAGTGGTAACTAAAACTCATCCACAAATGTTAATTATTCGAGTTATCTTGTAGTTGGACAAATGGTGGACCTAGATATAATTGCTGAATAATTGCCTATATGAAGCTTGTTTCCAGTAATCAATCACTTTATTACATTGGGAAACGTGTTTTGTCAAAGAAAACAAGAGATTTGGTAAGGAAAATGCCGATATAAGAGCTGATTTTCATACTCAATTCATCAAGGTATCCCACTAAAAATGGTGGACAATTGGAAAAATTTCAAGACCCAGATATAAATGCAGAAAAAAGGCAGATATGAAGCATTGTTTCCAGTAATCAATCTTTCATCACATTGGTAAAAGTGTTTTGTCAAAGAAAACAAAAGAATATGTAAGGAAACTGCTGACATAGTCCTGATCTTCTTCTTCGATTCATCAAGGTATCCAACACCCCAATTTGGAATAGGTGTCAGCTGTGGGTGAGGTTTGCCTTATCAAAGTCAGAGAGTTTTAAAAAAGCAAACCGAATTAACCCACATTTATGGGGGTATGTAAAATGAGCTAATGTTTCAATGAGCGAAACTCATTTACGTCTGATGAATGATCCACGAATCTTTATTATATCAGATATATCACATGTATTTAGGTGTATTAATAGATTCAACCTAAAATAGGCGTGCGAGAAGGTTCAACCTTTTATTATGTCAAGTTAACACGAAAGTCGGTTTTGTGCAACAATATTGATACGGATGCTGCCTTCCATTTTATTTATTCCCATTTATCAGGCAATAAACATATCGATTCCACATTAATGCTGTGTTTAAAGTTTTTATTTATAAGTAATGAATTATTACCACAGGTAGGCTTTAAACAATGTTTTGCCAGTAATACTGATATTATCTTGTCGTATAAAATACATGTACAATGACAAATTATGGGATTACGATGAGCAATTAAGTGAACATGCATATTGTCAACCTTGCAAAGTGTATTAAAATGCAAAAACTAGATTTTGCCTATATAATGAAATCATACTAGTATATTTCACTTAATTAGTAGACTCACCTTTCTCGTCCATCTCTACAACAGCTTCGTGAATTACCTTGGACACGTCGACTCTGGGGTCGTCGCTAAAAGGCGTCAAATCAACTTTCGAGGAAAACAGATCTCTCATTCCCAGTGTTTCCAGCATACTTGAGATTTCGTACCTCGATTTTAATTTTAGCCGTGGCAGATCGACATAGACAGGCTTTGCGTTAAGAAAATAAAGCTCTTCTTTAAACAGTTCACTTGTAAGTCTCGACTCGGTGTCTCGCAAGCCATCCTTTTCATTTGGGAGGATAATGTCCATGCATAATTTTGGGGCGTTCTTATCTTTTTTTTCTTGGACGTATGGGAGCTCTAAAATTTGAGCTTTTAGATCCGGGCTTGATACATGCAGGAACGCTTCAGGCTGATGCATCATTGTAACTGGGGTGGTAGTTTTATCAAGTCTGTGGAAAATCCGTTCTTTGGTGTTTTCTGGCTTGAACTGACTGACCCAACTGCCTTTAAAGTATATAGCGTTTACCAACGCCATGATTGTCATAGTGTCTATGTCGCCCGGTACTAGGACCTCTTTAATCATTTGCATGGTCTGTTCTGCTACCCAATTGTTAATAATTTTGGTACTCGTTTCGCTGTCTTTAAAGTCCAACTCCTCAATTGCACCATCGTAGAATTTGTTTAAAGATTCAAGAAATGGTTCCTTCACTTTCAGAGTCTTGTCTCGATATAACTTGTTCGCGGATTGCAGTGCAAATGCTTTTCTATCTTTGAAGAGGAAATCTTTCAAGCACGCATATGCTGAGTGGAAAATGTCGCCAGGTGTGTCCTTTAGGTGAAGTGTCTCAACCATTTGTGTCTTCGTATCCCCGGCTGTCCCTAATAACATCATTGACAATGCCATTGAAATACTGATTGGACTTATGAAGACATTCTCAGTATCATTTCCCTTATTCTGCTTTACAATTTCCTTGTACAAATCTATCGCAAATGCATTCATACTTTTCGTCAACGCTTCTGTATCACTCGAATCACATGTTTTCACCTCAGCGTCTTCTTGTCCAAGCGTCGTTAACGCTAAGCATACGAGAATAAATCCAAGGTATGTGTTCATATTTGTTACACAATATTTATGTCTGATATAATCTAATCCACAGCTTGCTTGGCATTTATATTGGATGTTCCGGTCTCATTACTCAGTGATTTATCTTTTATTTACTGCATCACAAAACGGATTCGTTATAACCACATCATGATAACAAGAGACGTCGCAGTTACTCACCATGCTACATCACACTGAGGACCCCGCACCTTAATATATGTTTAGCGGTAACTGCCTATACATAGATATAAATGATCAAATTTTTATTTTGTTTTAAGGGTTGTTTTCTTTACTTTTTACATAAACTTTGTGTTTTAGAGTAAGTACAATAAAAATAAAAGGCGTTTGTCACCCAACCCTTGTTACAATATAATATTTGTCAAACATAAAACTAAAATGTATGGTTCTGGTTGTGTGGCTTTATGATAATAAGGGTTACATGATATGTCACTGGATATGGTGTCATAACCAAACAGGCACTAATATAAAAACGTAAACAAAACTAGACACTACTACCTACAAGCATTCCTATCATTGTGTTTACAACAAATATACGTAAACATTATTTTGTATACACAGACCCCCTAGCATTTTGCTTCCAAAAACAAACATTTATACTTCCACCTAAACTACGTCATTTCCATATACGTTGCCTCCGAGATTTGTTGTTTAGTTATTTTGCGTTTAGATTCGCCAAGAATCACGATTCCATAGTTCGAAAATATACGACTCAGTTCATAAGTTTAAAGTAATTGTCAAATTACAGGGTACCAATCACGATCGTCCTTCAGCCCGCAGCCTTTAATAAAAGACGATATCCTGGTATCGTCACCTGACTTGAAGCTAATAAAATAGACAATTTGTTCAAGAATCATTTCAAGTCTTTCAAGTATGATTCATTGTCATTTCCCCAAAAAAACATTTTATAGACCATGATAATGATTCGATAAAACAGATAATTGTACAAAATAAAATTCGATATTATCGAAACTAGGATAGTGAAAGATACTGTTTATTATCTAACTTTATTTAAATTCATACGGTATCATATTGGTAGCTTTAAAAAAGATTCCACATGTTGTGCATCATAAAACCCGCCATGTCACTGTTAATGGAAAGTTTGTGAGATCATTTTATAGAAAAATGGGCAAAAAATATATTCGCTTTTCATTTTCGGCTATTTTGAATTTTCAGTCGTAAGATCTTGTCTGTTAAGTCTTGTCTACAATATATCTGTACGTATGTTAGTTCGAATTTTTCAAAATTTTGAAAAATTGTACCATGTTACATCTTCTAAAATAAGTCCCCCCCCCAAACACCTGACCAATATCTGCCGTTTATTTATGTGTCATATTAACCCCTTTAAAGTAATTCCTTCAGGCGTTTTAAAGATATCCATTATGGGTGATCAAAATAAGCCGAAAGCAATGGATTACATTGCTTTCCACTTTATCTTTTAACGGGGTTAACCGTGTGTCAAAACGCAACATATTAATGCAACAAAAATTTAAAAAGCAGGGGTGGAAATCAGGACAACATTTCAAAAAGCATATGGGTGGGTTGTTTGCATCTCCCCTGGACCCAAGAGCGCACTAATCTTTGCAATAAGTGTACCAGAAATAATAATTAAGCCTAGTCATAATAGCTATATGATTTCATATTATCCTCAATTAATTCATTTCCTTTTTTTCCTATACAATAAACCAGATTAAAATCGCATGGCACATGTAACTTTTTGTAAAAGATACCATTAAAATGGTATCTCTCAAAAATCATAGGATATCCTCACTCTATATATTATATTCTCTCTCTCTCTATATATATATATATATATATATATATATTGCCTGATCACCAGGACAAAATATAAAGGTTTGTGTTTTAAATATTTCCGTTTGAAAATTTAACAAATCAGTAAAATTTTGAATAGGTGCACGGTCTGAGATATGGAATTTTGCGCGCTATTGAAGTTAGGGCCGGGGGGATGGGTTTTAAGTGCATTGTTACATATCACCAACCTGTTTTATTCCACTTATTTCAATTAATACTGTTTGGAATAAATAGAATAACGCCTCTTCGTTATTTTATTCAAACAATATAATTTTGAAAACAATGCATCCGGGTGTTTAATGATAGCTATATTCCTAAAATAGTTTAATTGCAATCTATAAATATGAAACGCTTGATGTAATTAATATGAACAATTATTTATGTAAGTTTTCGATCATTAATTATTTCAAATATCTGTTCATGTAAATTCATCAGTATCATATATTTCACATAAAATAGAAAGTCAATGAATGTCAGCATTAATTTCATATTAAATGTTAAACAATCATACCCACTCAAAGATTTAAATATCTTATTTCCAGAAATATATATGGTTTACCTACCTTTCGTCTACCGCTTTTATTCTTCCTCAAGGAAAGTGACGTCTTAAACAAAAAATATTGGAGAGGTTAAGCTAACGATGTTTTTCACAACGTAACCGTGAACGCAAAGTACAAAAATTAACAAAGGAATGTATCGAGCGCTCATAGTTTTATGCGCGCTTAGTCTACTTCAGATACTCTTTCAGCTTCAGAGTTTCGGGTTTAGAACGGGAGATTTGAATATTTGACGTTGGGTCAACGGGAACCATTTTACTCGTGTCTATTGAACACTATGCTGTCAATTTTGATTTCGATGCACAGTTGAATTCTTGCTGAACACGATGATGTATGTCATGCATGATTTAGCGCCAAAAATCTTACGAAACGAGCTCGTTTAAAATATGTATTAGAAAACCAGCTATAAAACCGCATCAATGACATAGTATAGAATCATTACACGCTATGGTGTAGTCTAAACAAACACTGGATTTGAACGGCTATTTATATGAGAAAGCTACATGAATTTGTATATGGTCGAGTGATACGTACAGGTTCAGTTTCGATTATATATGCAAAGCTTAACCTCTCCATTCACGGATAACAACGGGAACTACTATAGAATATTATGTTGTTTTTCGAATATTTCCAAATTCAAAAATATTTCTTTCCTCGGAAAATTAATAAATCACAAAAAGCGGAGAAGCTTTCCTCGAATTGAACAGATAATGTTATTTTTACTGGACATAATTCCAATGGTATAATTATCAATAACAAAATTATTTATCTTAAAGCTGATGAACGTTTATGGGAAAGATCAACATGATGAATATAAATATCCCAACACATTTTTAGAGGTGGAAATGGCCGGCAGTTTGGTTTGATCAGTCCCCTGCGCACAGAGACTAGTTATAAAAGAAGTTCTCTTTTAAGAAGTGCAGTCGAACGAATGTAAAGGGTATTTGATCAGCTTTTTCCGAATCATTTAGAAAACTACGCAATTCATAATTGCATGGTTTGTGGTTCGTTGTTTTATTTGATCAGGTTGTAAAAGGATTTCCATATTCCTCATGTAAAAACATATTGTCAATATATTGATATATCCATCAAATACAGTAAAACCTGTGTTAGTGAACACCTTTCCCCTGGGCACTCTACAGTATCAGTCTACAATCTACAGTCTTCAGTCTACAGTGAGTATTATTATATGACAGAACCTATTTTTCCCATTGACTTTCATGTTAAAATACATTCCTACAAAGAACACCTATCGAACTACTATGAGCATTACCTCTATCCGCAATTACCCAACGTCATCTATTAATCTTTATCTCTTGTGCTAACTGAATACAGACGCAGAATAAGATATCAAATTAAATTGCACATTTCCTTTTAATAGCCTTGTTGAGCCACTGGTTTGTGAGCATGATACGACCTTTAAATGACTGTAGTGAAAACCTACCTACAATGAACGGCTTTTCTTGACAGAAATGTTCATTCGACATAGGTTTTACTGTACTAGATCACTGATTGGCATTTCTTTGATATTCATAGGGGGTAATATAGAGTATACTATAATAATTCATTTCAGTGTCCGATCTTTTCATTCGAAAATACAAACTTCTAATAAGGTGCAATGGAAGTTAACAGGAAATGACAAAACAAAAAATGTCAAAACCATGCTGGATTTTGAAAATATTTTGAACCAATATAACAGAGTTCTGTTTGGACCTCCAGTCAGTTTAACTAGTTCCACATATCATTTACATGACCAGGAACACAATGGAAATGGTCAGAATGACCATAAACATGATGAAATAACCTTTGCAGCCCTCTGAAAATGTGACTGAAAAATAGCTAAGAGTAGGTGCTCAGGAAAGGTCACTGAACAGAATCTTTTGACTTTTTCAGAAAATGTGCCCAATATATTGCTCTAAATGATACAATTTTAAAAATGTTCATATCATTCTTAGAAAAAGAAAAAGAAATGAAAAAATGAATTTAAAATCGATCTATTTTCCTTTTAACTACAGCCATTATTGTTTCAGACGATTTTTTTCAAATTTCAAAGATTGTATCATTTAGAGCAATATATTAGACACATTTTCTGAAAAAATCAAAAGATTCTGTTCATTGACCTTTCCTGAGCACGTACTTTTAGCTATTTTTCAGTCACATTTTAAGAGGGCTGAAAAGGTTATTTCATCATGTTTATGGTCATTCTGACCATTTCCATTGTGTTCCCGGTCATGTAAATGATATGACACTAGTTAAACTGACTGGAGGTCCAAACAGAACTCTGTTATCTTGGTTCAAAAAATGTTCAAAATCCAGCATGGTTTTGACATTTTTTGTTTTGTCATTTCCTGTTAACTTCCATAGCACCTTAAGAGTCTTAAGGGAACAGCACGCTTGCCCATTTCGTGATTGCCTTGTTTTTCACATTTCAATTCGTGACTGCCTTTGTTTTTCGAATGATAGTTGAATTCATGGAAACATTCTCAAAAGTTATCAAAACAGGTACCATTACCGATATTTAAAATGCAGGGCAAATGTAAAGGCACTTTTATATTTATGTTGTTGTGACAGTTATTATAATGCTTGAAATCTTTCTACGTTATTAAAAGATGTCGCACTAATCAATGCATCGAACTTTCTTGTTCATGTGAATTTGAGTATGGTCAGGACGATACTGTCGTCTGTCTTGGTTGCGTTGTGTTGGCCGATAACGTCCTATTTGCTTAGTACCCCGGACAGGTTGTATGATG